AGCAAGACTGACGAGACACACACCCGCACAATGCACACATCGAGCTTGTACGGTGCCCGGGTTATCACTGCCGCGATGGTGTAGGAGGCTTACGTAAGCCTACATATGCGCTGGTATGTAAGGCGATCCCTCCAGATCACGTCGTCCAGGAAGCTGGCAGTGAGCCCGAACTCGTCGCTTTTGCGGTCGCAGTTTCCGCCGCGTGCTGTCCCACGTGTCGAAAAGGTGCATGCGTGCGGCAAAGGCATCGCGCTCCCTTTCAAACCGTGCTTGAACTGGGACTGCAACCGGGAGCGAAACACGGTTGGGCGAACCGGGATGGCGCGTGCCCCTAGTGGTGGCTCTCGCGTCTTCTTAGTCGCGATGTCTAGAACCACCATCACATACCGAAGAGACTGGCGTTCGTCGTAGTACAGACGCGAATCGAGCACGGGAGCAGGTGGAAGGTTCATCATCTTCCACTTGATATCGTACAAGAGCTATACTATTACAGATGGTAGATCGTGTCTGCCCTAGGACGAGTACAATTCGCAACATCAACGCCTGCAAGCACCCCCCCACTCAAGGGCCGGGAGTCTGAGCCTCTTCCATGACACCCATTCTGACCCAGAGACCTCCCTATGGTTATATAAGCAACATTACAAGGCCCTCAGTTGCGTGGTACGCACATGAGCATACAAGGTGAGATGTTGCTTCGGAACAATCTTCTCGATAGCCTGGCGCCCAGGGGCCTGTGCCCAAGAAGCAGGGGGCTGTGTCTCCTTTGGCTGCACATCTCGCGCGAGGCTGATGGAGTCGAAGGCCTGCATGAGCCGCACGAGCGTGAAGGAGGCTTCATTGTACGCAAATTGCTGTCCGAGGCAGATTCTGGCATCCGAGGGCTGATTAGCGCGGTGCCTACGTCTGTGACAATAAAAGCTCCGTACCTTGGGCCCCCATTGAAGGGCGCAAATACCCAGGGATTAGGTACCAGATACTTGTGCAGCCTTTCGTCGATAAAGCGGTCGGGGTCGAAATCCTCGGCTAAGAGTGAGTGATCCCTTTCAGCGTACAAGTTGTGACGGGAATGGCGAGAAAGGCTAACCGTCAGGGCCCCAGAGATCGGTACGGCGCTGCATAAGAAAGACACTGTAGATCCCTCTGTCGAGGCACTTAGCCTTCGTACGCCAATGGTGAAGCGGCGACGTACTGTGTCCCCTTTGGGACGAAGAGCGGCTGACCACCGGGGTTCGCGGAGGGCCACTGTGTATCCCGGACCGCGCAGCTGGTCATGCTCAGATCTCCGCTAGGCAACAAGATTGTACCCGGCTCACCGTACATCAAAGGGACTGTAGACGATGATGGTTCCAGTGAAACTGCGCAGACATGCTATGCCAGGAAAGGACTCACACGGGAGGATACAGCCTGAGCACCTCTAATATGTACGTTCAGTCTTCAAGTCTCGGGACCAAGATGAAGAGAGTGCGCACCATTCAAGAAGGCGCGCACGTACTTCATGGACTTGAGGTCTTCATGTGTCGGACGTTGCGATGGGCCGACCGTATTCAGGACTTCTTCGCGGAGCTTTTTGAGCACATGTGGATGTTCAGCCAACATATATGCGCCAAAGGTCAGAGTAGCAGCGATCTGAATGTATCATGAGTTGATGGTCTGGAGCACCAACTGTGTACATACAGTGTCACGACCAGCGATCATGATGTTCAGAGTTTCGTCCTTGATGACGGCGCGATCTGGTTGATTGCGTCAATCGTCTGCACTGTTCAGAAAGACGACGAAGTACCCTCAGTGACGCTCAGAAGGTAGTCGAGGAGCGACTTGTGGCCCTCGACGGTCTTGTCGCTGATCTCGGGAGTCTTTCCCTCGCGCTTTACCCTGATGGCCTCCTCGATGATGGGTTCGATGTACGCGTTTACTATGTCCATGTCCTTCTTCGACTTGTCCCCGGTGATCTCTGCTAGTGGCCAAACATCGCCAAGGAAAGAACGGAAGGCAATGCGGTGCTGTGCGGAGGAAAATGCGTGTGCGAAGGCATTGCTGGGGTGCGCTCGGTCCTGGTTGACGGCCTCAGGCGTGCCGGGAGGATAGATCAGGCTTGCAGACAGAGAGGCCACATCGTGATTGAAGAGGAATGCCGTAGCGCTATCGAGCGTGATGCGGGAGCACATGTCCTAAAGCATTGCCTCAGCGAGTTGTAGCGCGATGGCTGAAGTACTGACAGACCTGAAAGTCAATAGCATGTCCAGACGCAAGTCGCGCTTTAGCCTGCGCGATCGCACTCGTAACGTGGGCGTCGAAGATATCAAAATCGGAGATCCTATCCTACATGACAACGATTGAGGAACAGAGTGAGCTGGATGTGCACATTGACGCACCTTGCTGAAGAAGGGTCTCGTCATCCCTCGGTGGAACCTGACGTGACAATATGAGCCTCCGAAGCGCCGCGTGATTGAAGATCTGACACCGACTTCCACATCTCGCCATCAGAATTGAAGACGCCAGTGCCAAGCACCGACTGCATCTGGCCCTTAAAGACATCCCCCTTCTCCCAGTCGTCGAACTGCGTCGCCAGAACGGCCTATCGCAGAAGTCAGAATCAGGATATTGGCCAGGACGCTCACAAGTCTTGACATTGGCTTACCTTTACATGCTGCGGCTCCATTGTATAGTATTGCTTCGGGTGATTTTGAGCTAGTCATCCATACGCATGTCTAGTTCAACACTCACAAGGGGCGAGAAGCCAGCCTTCAACGCGAAAGCGTTCCCAGTGATACCATTCTTCTCCAGGATGGGCCTATAGGCCTCACCTGTCATGACGCTCATCAGCCCAAATGGCTCAAGAATTCGTCTGTACAAGTACAAACCGGTGTAGCCATTCTCAAAAGCATCGATCATCATCTTTAGAGTCCCAAGGTTGAAGGGTAGGGCATCTTTGGCTTCAGGCGGCAACGTAGCGCCCATGGCCCTGGCCTTGCGCCCTTGCACAAACCACCACAGGCGCCAATAGAGAGCGACGCTGGGAAGAAAGAGCGCTGCACTACCTGCTCCGATGAGCAGAATAGACGGGGTTTGAACCTCCAGAGCGCGACACAATGCCGACAGGCCCATATGCGCGACCGTCAAGCCCGCCGTCATCTTCACCGCTATGCCCGCCAGATATCGTAAGCCCGGAGAGATCTCCATCTTCATTGCAGCGATAGAGGGTTGAGGGAAAGTTCCCTCGTGTTCTCATTCACCGGTCTTTATATGCGGGCACCATGGGAGGGGACACTAGAAGGTCACACCACCTATTAGGTACGTCGTCATGCCCTTAATCACAGGCTTGTGTATGAGCGGAAGTCCGTGGCTGGTACGAGATGGTGCACGTCGTAATCTGGAGTGGAAGAGCGTGTGTGGCGTATGCGTATGTTTACCGGTCTGTATGAGTAGTCAGACGATTCATGAGGGAGCGGCCGCCGAAGACCTCAACAGAGTGGTCGGCGGGGTACAAGTACCTCTTGAACGTGTGTGTATGTAGCACCCATCCAATGGTATAAGGTCACTGTATGACAAGTATGATCGCATGAGCAGGGTCGTGTCAGCGGATCGCGAGATTGTGTGGGCGAGTGTACAGCCTGAAGCGCGCAGGCACTGCCGGCCCAGGGAATACGGACGAGGTCACTTAGACGGTGCGACCGGCCAAAACCCGACTCAAAGTGCGCGTTGTGGGCATCATAAGCGTAAAGGTTATTTCGTCGGGCGTATGGGAGGTATAGAAACGATGATGACGGGCAGCGACAAGGTTCAAGCGCGTCACTCTGATTCATGCGACACGCTCGACGCGTCTACGGTCAAGCAGCGTCGCGCACACGACTCCGAGCTTGAGATGGAACCACCACCTGCTCGACGCGCCTACCCTGTACACCAAGACGGTGAAGACCCTGCTCGATGGCATCAACGGACATAGTCTCCATCAACAAGCTGGCGTTTCACGCTGTTGTAGGGCGCGATCAGTGGGGACGAGAAGCAGCTCAACCTCTGAATGTGTCACTGGAGTTCTATCTGCATCCTAGCACACTACTACTGGCCGCCGCCTCCGACGATTCTCGCTTCAGCATACGAACCTGGGAGATAGTTGCGATAGTCACCGGGATCGTGCAATCACAAGCGCCATTTGTGTCCGGACGCGCACTCTCTAAAGCCTTGACTGCAACGGCCGTCAACAGCGCGGCGGGTGTGTGCCAGGAGATCCGTGGGTGATATCTGTCTGTACCGCACAATCGCTCTAAGAGTGCAAGGACAGATTTGTCAGTTGAGCTTCCAAAGGCTGAGCTCTGTCTGCGCGCAGAGGGTAGCGTGATTTGGAAGACCACTTCACGCTCAGGAGTCCAGGACATCACGTTCTGCATCTACGGGTTGATAGTACCCGTCACAGTCGGTATGACGCCGGAAGAGAGGGATGTCAAGCAGAACATCAGCTTTGATTTCTTGTTCAACGAGAAGCCGAACCTGGCGGAGGATGCCAATGTGCCATACACCTCGATCGTCACGAATGTTGTCACAGTACGTGCTGCATGTTTAATTCGCCCTCAGAGGAAATTGCATCTGATCTTGTGTTCAGCAAATTGAGGCATCGGGATTTCGGTCTCTCGAGAAACTCGTTCATGAGTCCGTACGATTCTCGGTCCAGAGTGACGAGAACATACAGCAAGTGACTATACGTGCCAAGAGAACGAAGGCGCACATATCCGCCGAGTCTGTCTGCGTGCAGCTCACCCGAGATCGCTCTGCATTCGATTAGGCGACATCGCAGCATGGCCGGTTGCCTCAAACTGCTCGTTCCGTGCATCCGCTCTTGGCCGCCTACTTATTCCCTCCTACGCGGCATAGCAATGTCCTGGTGCTGCCCTGTATTGACACTATGAGGTTATGACATGCTCCCTTTGGTCGCTCCTTGCAGAATGTGCGAGTTCCCCAAGTCCGACGGGCCCTCGCGGAGGCCTCCCCCGTCATCCTCCCCCCCAGGCACCCCCAAGACGAGGCCATTCAGTGCAAGGGCCACCTTGTACCGATTTCATATCAATGCTCGCTATCATCAACTTGCGCACGTGCAGGTTCGCCACGAGAGCCGAGAGCAAAACCACCCTCGGGCGCCACCACGCGCCAGCTGCGACCCGTTAGTGGGTTTTCACTGCAGGAAGCTTCCCTGAGGAAGAGAAGTTGATTAATGCTCTACGATGGCCAGATTCAGGTCCGCCGCACCTATTATCGTCTCTGCCTCTCCATTATGCGCCCCAGAAGGGTCGGCCGGGCCATCATGCTCTTGTCTATTGTCAAGCTCTGCTCCTGTAAGTCTGACTTGAGCCCGGGGAGGTGCTTCGGCTCAGAAGGATTGCTTGTAGGCGAACTCTCGATGGTCCGTGCCGTCTCGGAAGATGCAGAGATGGCATGGTTGGCGGGTGGCCGATCCTTCCGACACGAACCGCAGTGTGCCTCTGCGCGTGCCGATGAGCGGCTGATGAGAGAGGTGACTGTCAAGACTACTTGAGTATACGGAGTTTTTGAGAAAGCCTGACCTTGCATTGGAGATAATGGTGCCTACAATATGAGGTTGAAGAAAGTAAGTGGGTTCCTGCCAGGGTATACATGCCAACGGACCTCTGCGGCCTCTGCCTCGTGCCAGAGGCTTATCTCGGTCTGATGGTACAGCGGATGGGCGCTGGCGATCTCACAATTGGGATCCCGATCTCTGCCCGTATAAATGCCCCCAGCCTCCCCTCGAACCACCAGCAAACTCTACCCCCCTACCTTCCCTCGAGCCCTATCACCAGCTGACAAAGCTTTATCCGCGCGCTGTCTACCACCCTCCTACTCGCTTACCGATGGATGCCTTCACCGAGTGCATCATCCTCGCCACCGGCCGTGGCGCCGTCCCAGACCACCCAAATCAACTACTACCCCACGCCGCTGCCGCGTCATCTGGCGTTGAGCAGTCGCTGTCTGTCGCACCTGTCGATCAGGACAAGCTCAATACATTTGGCAACATGTGCGTCATTGCTTGAGCGTGCAGAGGTGGGCACTTGGCGCGACCTTTAATCCCACCATTGTCTAGTACTGACCATCACATGCAGTACCATCCGCACGCTGCTCTCGCTCTTTATCGCATCGCCTTCGTCACTGCGATGCGGCACTCATCTCTGCGTCACCTTACAACTTCCCCATTTCGCTTCCACGTTATCGAGGCTACACTCTCCTTCACACACCGTATTCGCGTACGCCAATCGCCTTCACTCCTTGCTTTGTATACTTCCCCCATGTATGTACTTGTATCGGCCACCTTGTTGTACAACACACGAAGAAGAAAAACCCTCCTGTACAGTAGTGTCACCCCCTTCCATCACCACTCGCCACTTTTCCACCGCCGTGTACCCGTCTACGTAGAAGACTCTCGGTCCTTCACGTACAAGTCATACGAGTTTCCTCGATCTCGACCAATGCTCATCTCATCGGCGTTGCGCAAGTACCACCTTCGTGATCGTGATTCCAACCGCACAGAAGCCTGCCGCGGGCAAATCAGCGATCATTTGCGAACATCCATCAGCATTCCCGGTTACGAAAGAGTGTGTTGCTCAATACGGCACTCAGAGTGTCTAGACACGTTAACATCGACGATCCAACGAGTGATCGGAGTGATTCCCTCTATATGATACAGAGGTGCAGACTAGCTTCCATAAAACGTTGATATAACGCGAAGATTTCACCAGTCGACACACCCTAGCGGGTCTACCCCAATAAATCATCGAGGAAGTCTTCCATCTGGGCCTTCTCTCCTTGAGGCGCGCCTTCTTGTTCAGTCGGCAGTGGAGGTGCTTCGACATAAACATCTAAACTCTCAGCATATATACTTGCTAGATTAAGACAATGAAAGCTGACCTTGCTTGCGCCTACCCCGCACAGAGGTTGAGCCTCTGGGATTCAATCTGCTGCCTCGTTGTCTGGAAACTTGGGTTCTAAAGCGGTTCTTCAAATCTATCCACAAGTAATGTTGTTCAGTAGCGGTTCAAGTAGACATCGGGAACCACCAACCTCGCGTTGCTTCAGCCTCAGCTTTCTCTCGTCTCATTTCCTCTAGAGAAGCATCCCATTCAATTTGTTGCACTCTACCCTTTCTCGAAATCGCGTCTAATCTTTCTCCGGTGCCGATATGTGCTAGAGAATGGTCTACGTCGTCATCATCCACATCTGACTTTGGCGACAGAATCGTCTCAGGAGCATCCTCGAGGCGTTGCCGTTCGAGAAACTTGGATAGGTCTACTTCAGGCTCTAGTATCTCCTCGCCTACAGGCACCATAGTTCATGAGCTACGTACACAGAGTTCAGTGCCACATTCTACCTACCCTCGGAGTCGAGCTCAGGTTCCGGCTCCTTGTACCGGTCAGCATTGGTACCAAGCTGCCTTCTCGAGAATTTCTGAGCCTGAGCCGCAGCTTCTTCTTCATCGAGCTCTTCTTCTTGCTCGCCTTCGAGCACAAGACGCTCCTTGAAGACGGCCGGTCGCCCGCCTCCGCGATGGCCGCGTCCACGGGCACGAAGGTACTTTCCCATACCACCTCGAGATCGGCCGCGACCGCGACCGCGTCCCCGTGAAGAAGATTCTCCTGTAGCTTCCTCGGACATGTGTAAAGATAACGGGGGACGGTCTGTGATGGGAATACGCAACGAGGCCGATGATGGTGGTGGGGGATAGAGATGGGAAAGCCCATGTGACCGTGACGGCGATCTGATGTTGAGCGCGGCGCGGATTGGCAGCGCTTCGAGCTGTCCTCCACGGTGCCCTCTTCGCCGGACAGGCTCGACCTCTCGACTCTGACCCCGACGACTGCCGATGCTGCACGCCGTGATGTATCCCACTCCGGCGGGCCCTCCGCCCGCCCAGATGGCGCCACCGATCTCGCCGCAACCACCACAGGGCCACCCCGAGTCTGTCAGCCAGCTGCTTGCCCGCGGATATACCCTTCCTTGCTCGACCGCGGCGCAGGCCTTCACACACATGGTTCCGCCATTGAACCGCTTTCCGGTGGCACTCGAAGTGCTACTACCCATACTTGAATCTTCACAGTCTGAGGTAAAGCAGGAATTCGCCTTGATAATCATCATATCGCGGCGATACAAGCCGGGCACCGCGGCGACAACTGGGGTTGTGGCACAGGGCGTGAAGCGCCCGTGTCGGCCCCGCATTTACGCTTGGTGAGTGTTTCCCTCAATCCCCTTTTGGAACTGGGTTGCCCGTATCGTATCATGAAATGATACCATCGATGCGCGGATAACTCGCTCTCGAACTAGAGAAGGTCCCAATAGGCCGGCCTTGACTCTATGACCATTCTCAAACCCCGTTTGTTACAAACCACTTACCAATTTCCTCACAGATACGCCATCCTGAATCCGCGAATTCCGCTCCTACCTTCTTCGCATCCAACTTTTCATCGCAAACGCTGATTTATACCCAGTCTTCCCACCGCATCCTGGTTTCCTACATCCTGTATTCTATGTACGCGCCGCACCCCATCGGCATTAATCCCTTCAAGTCCGCATTGTACGATACTTTCATCAAGGAACGCAAGCTGGCCATTGAGAACCAAGACGCTATCAACTCTGCTGAGCGCGAGCAGTTCGTGTGGGTACTCTGGAAGATACTCCGCGGAGATGGTCAAGATGTAGGGCGCTCAGTCTACCTACTTCGCCGAACTGAACTAATTCCGTTTTGTCATCAGCTCGGTCCGTTCTCGCCCAGCCAGTTCGTTCGCTCGGCCCTTCCGTCGAAGCTCCGTCCTTCCAGCCTTGTGCTTGACGAAGACCAATTCAAGGACGACTTCGCCGACTCGACTCGCGGTGAACTCCAGACTGAAGGACCGCAGCCGCCGGTGTCTGCCGAAGAGGATGCCCATGCCCAAATCATCTCACAGGGAGCAACACTTCTTTTGGCCGCGCGCGAGCGTGTATTGACACTGTCCGAGATGCGCATTCTCGCCGGCGTGCTTCCTGACCTCACGACCCCGTCCATCTTGACGTCTTACGACCTCTCGCGTGTTGTTGCTTTCAACCCAAACTTGGCGCATCCACTCTTGGTTAGTGCACTGTCCAAAGGCGAAGAGATTGCGGAGAACTGCATCGAGGTACTCTCGAATCTCCCGCCGACCATGCCTTCGCTTGATGTCATTGGTCGACTTCTGCGCGATAACACCGCTGTGCACGATGCAGCCAACGGCAACACGACGATCGCAGATATCGTACGTCTTGACGTACTCGGCCGCTTCGTGAGCAATGCCGTACAGTGGCTTGAGGAGGCTGAGGCCGACGAACGCGCTGGTCTCGTTTCCGACGATCGCTTTGCTCAAGGCGTCCAGAACGTGAGTCCCAAATGATACATGTATCTCATTCTTATCTCACGCTCTATCGTAGCTATGCCGTTTCTACAACTCGCTCATCAAGCTCGGCATTGTTGATCCGACCTCAGACATCGACTCTGCAGAAATGATTACCTTCACGTTGAGCCATTCGCGCTTCGAGGAGGCGAACGCGCTCTACCGTGTCCTTGCCGCGGGCCGCTACTAAGTCTTTCTCGTGGGACCGCTGATTATTGACATATAAATATGCCTGGATCCTTACATCCTGAATCTGTGTCTCGTCGCTTTGATCGTCCTGTTTGTACCTTACCCGTGTAACTTGATACCGTATGGACCTGGCCTGTAGATTGTATATCCTTGGACCTCAACCTCATCCTGGAGTGGATCCGATATTACTGAAGTAGCGTAACGGTTTGGGCTTCGGCCTATAGAGTCTTCCCTGGCGTATGTCCGATTATGTCTTATGCACTTTTCTGAGTAGTGTTTATGCGTTGGTTTGCGACTATGCCATGCCCTTTCATGCCCGATTGGACGCAGCCACACCAAAGCCTGTAAGAACTACCGCAAGCCGATCACCATGAAGGCCTGACACTGATAGTGTTGGAGTACTTATGAGTGTCTGCCATGCGATACGATGGCTACACAAACACCCCTCAAATGTGGACATCTGCTGTGCAACGACTGCAGCGTCTCCGTGTGGCTGAGGAGCGAAGACCGCGATGGCGAGAGACAAGCGGTCGGACGGAGCGCGCTCATCGACGGCAGGACGATCTCGCGTTAGGTGTGCACACAGAGTCTAACCGTATGGTTCGTACCTAGCTCTATTTACGATTTACCTGTGTCAGGCAGTACGGCCCTGTACCAGGCGAATAGGGGCGCAGCTAGCCGGTGGGTTTTCATGATAGCGAAGAAATTCGTACAAATACAGTATATTGTGCACAGGTCGGGACGTAGCCGGCTATACCTTCAAGGCTAGTGTACTACGAATGAATGACTACGGTATGCAGGGTGACATCAAGGTGGGTAATATGTCATGTATGGGAGTCCGAGATAGGGGATAGCGTGAAGAGCGTAGCAGGAAAGCAGGACGAGACGTAAGGGTATTCAGAGCAAGACTGAACGCGGAAAACACGAAAAGATGCAGGGTCTAGTGGACGTGATATGAGGATCATGCCATGTCATCGCCAGATTTGGCGAAGTGAGTATCATTGATAGAGTGCTGCGACGGTCGTCGAGCATAGTTGCCCGCGGCGTAGTCTGGCGGTGCGTAGTCGGAAGGCGTTGAGGGCATGGTAGAGTGGGCGTCCGAGGTCCAGTCCGTGTTAACGCTCTGCGTCTCCTCGGCGAAGGACTTCAAAGCGCTTGATGAGAGTATGGGTTTGCTGTAAGAAGGGGCGAGTGTTGACGAGACATCGGTCTTCCCATCTACGGAGAAGGTAGACAGCATAGTGCCTCGGTGGGTTTTGTATGCCGACGGCGGGTCCCTGTGCGATCGTCAATATATGAAAGAAGGTGAAAAGGGTTGTGGACATACGCTGCAGGAACGTAGTTCCTCGCGGAGCGTGCTGCCGGTTTCATGCGAAGGACATGTGTCTTGATCCACATCCAGCACGCTTTGTACTCCTTGAGCGCGTCCTCGCCGAACATGAAGAATGCCGCGAAGAACATCGCCGAAAGCGGGGTTGTCCACCATACGACCTCAGACCAGACACGGTCTGATGGTGAAAGAAAGGCAGTCGGGAAAAGCCCGATGTTAGTCCAATTGGAGTGCACGTCGGCCCAGTTCGTCCACGGTCGCAGACCGTAGCGGGTCGAGAACCAGACTTGAAGTGTAGATGCAGCAAGCGTCCAGATCATGAGAACGATGGACATAAGCATGAGGCGAACGTAGCGCGCGGTCGTGAGCGCGGATTGCGAGTTCTTGAGCGTTTGCGCGAAGACTGCCCGTCGACGGAAGAAGTGAGCCAAGGCCATGCCTACAAGGACTGTCAGCAGAAAGTACAGTCATCATAGCTGCAAGTCCTGCTCACCTCCGAGAATCAGAGTGGCCGCAGATAGAAGAAGAGGAGGTATGAACATGATGAAGATGGCGGGAACGGAGACGTAGTAGGTGGCACGGCAACCCAAGTCCTCTGCGATGTCGAAGCGGTGGCCTTGAACGATATAGTCTAAGAAGCTTGTCAGTAGAAGGACTCGGTACTATGATGGGAAGGATGGCTTACGAAGGGCCATATAAACGCACGGAAGGCCAAAGCACATAACGAGGTCAAATATCATCCATCTCCTCCTCGAAGCGTGCGATACGCTGACTTGGCGGCACGCAGATATGCTCTCCAGACGGATAGTCAAGCAAAGACAGGCGGCGGGTAATGCCACGGTGCTGCCGACGTTGAGCTTGGTGACTGCGTCTTGACTGAGCATATCGAAGGTCATGAACAAGCTTGAACGTACCAATGTCGCACCAGACTGGAATTCTTTTGATGACATTGCCGTTCCAAACGACCGAGTTCACAGCAAGAGAGAAGCAGTCGATGAAGAGCCATGGGATCATAGCGAGAGTCGGGGTGCTGCGTGCTCTCCAGTGCCATGGGATAGGTACGAGAACAAGTACAGAGGCCAAAAAAGCGCCAATTGGGAGTTCAGCGCGCATAACGTCGGGTATAACGAGAAATCCGAGAGCAGCGTCGAAGCTGGGGCGCACTTGAAAGAGCCACTGGCGGCATACTGAGCTTTATTACGCCTTCCTTCCATAGACGAAGCGAAGGAATGCCCTTTGGTGAACAGGACAAAGGACGTTGCAGCCATTGTGTGCCACGTGCTCGGATCAAAGTTTGCTGATCTCCGCAGACCCTCCAGCGTCAACACTGTCCTCCGCGTCCATACTCGTCCACGGTCCTCAGAAGCTAGACAGATGCACGTCGGCTTGCAGCTGAAGGAGCCCCATTCTCTCCCGAGTATTCAGGTGGTGTAACTTGGCGGGCAGCTGTATCGGAGCCTCATCACATCGGTCTTCCCAAACCTCGCCTCGGCAAGCCGCGGCGCTCGAAGTTGGTGCGCATAAGAATCAACGATGTAGTTGTTGACACTTTCTGCGAATCGCATCAAGTAGTGGTAGTTGCAAGTAGTCAGTACTTCTTGCTCTCACAGTCGCAGATGTTGTTTTCTTGTCTCGAGAATGGCCCCTTTCTTACATTTCACTAAAATCTCGCGGCGCTCAGCGTAGCCGCGATGGCACATCCCACTCGCATCCCACGAAGTTGTCGAGTCCAAAGAGTAGAGAACGTCTATAGAGAACCAAACTGGGTATACGATAGAAATACATTGACCGAGACCGTCAAAGCGGGTTTGAGAGGATACATCCGAGGCGCAGACTCTAGAGATACATCGTGAGGCAGACCGGAACGTATAAGGATAAGAAGGAGCGGAGGGGGTGCCTATGAGGAGAGGCACAGAAGCGACTCGGAGAGACGGCATGGGGCCTGAGGCCCGAGGCAGCTCCGAGTGTACCGCGCTCCTGACGGAACGAGCCAGGGGGCTAGCTTGCTTAGGTGCAAGGATACTGGGATGACAAGTCAGAATCCAAATGTGTATCCAGGTAAGGCGAGAGATTACAGACACATTATGCGATGATGCACATGTTGGTATACCCAGCGATGGTATCAGCCTCAACTGGCGCGCAGGAGGAGATATCAGAGGGCTTCGAAGTTGCTTCGGGAAGAATCAAGACCGCATCCTCGTCGTGACCGGCAGCGACAGAGGGGAGAACGGTAGTCATCTCGCCGTCAACGAGGTTGATGAAGCATTCGGTGAAGGCGTCCATGGGGTTGATTTGTGTGGAATGTCAAGAGTAAGAGAATGGTAAAAGGCGCTTGGGTGAGACGACCGGGATCGAATGCTTGAACGAAGGCAAAAGGCTAGTGAGCGAGGCTCAAACATGAGTATCTTGCCGGTATATGAGAAGATGCGACAATACGACATACCATCCTTGTCCTCCTCAAAGCTTACTGCAGTCAAGAATCTCAGTATTCATCGCCCAAAATGGTCGTGAGATACTGCGTAGGGTCGACTGTGCGCGACAAAGCGGCCCCGTGCTTTTGTGCTCGACTGGCCTATCCAGACTACTGATCAGCGTCACTTTCGTGACACTTCTTCTCGCAAGCTCGCAAGACCGTGTGTAGAGTAGTCGTGCGCTGATACCATCGACTCATGAGGCGTGCAAAGTATAGAATAAATCCAGTGTCTGGGGTAATGCCGAACGGCTGCCATGAGTCCGTCTTCCCGTGAGAACTCAATGCACACTTCGGGTCGTGGGTAGTTTTAGAGTAAAAGCAGTGATAATATACGAATGGCAGCTTAAGCACCTCCTCGAATAGGTTCAAGAGGCGAACTTGGGTTGTTGGTGGTGGCCGCTCTGGAAGGAGTCCGCGGCTGCCCAGGCGCACAAGGGCCAACAGTACCAAACGCCTCCCGAATCCCGATTGGCCGTCGGATTATCGGCCCATGTCCCCGAACCTGATGGGAGCACGCCTGAGGCTTGCCTTGCCCGCCCAGTGTCCACCAAGTATAAGCTCGAATTATCCACTGCGTCTCCATGTCATATCGGATATGCGAACTTCTCACTGCATTGCTCATATGATACAAGCAGTCAGACGTGCAAGAATCGCTCGACGCTTCTACTGGACAGGCTTCTCGTTGCCCAGATTGCAGACAAGCAAATTACTTCCTCGTAATACTCGCGGTCTGCGAGACGTCCATCTACGATGGTTCCATCCCGTAGCATTGATGTAACCAGGCACTTCTACCGGACCTGCAACTTCTCAGTCGGCGCTGGAGCTGAGACGACGTACTGGCGCGCCTAGTACCTACTGCAGGACTCGGAGGGCCACGCCCTCTGACTTCCCTGCTCTGGTCTTCTACAGTCACCTATACAGCAGTTGCATCCTCGGTAAGGTACACTGCAGCTGGAAGTACCCCACCTGAGAGGCTACCAGGAGCCGCAAGTTGTCGATGCTGTACCGGCGCCGTCCAGTGGCTAATCCAGGCGCTGCGCATACGTCACATCTCCGACTCCGTACAAAACGACTGCTGGGAAGGGTTTGTCGTGTACAAACCCCTTACTACGGCCGTCCCCATCATCTTCACTACTCGCAATGTCCTCCCTACTCGGTGCACTTGGTAACACCGTCTCCGATCTTGGTACCGCCCTCGGCGGCGGCGTAGCAAGCGTCGGCAGCGCCGCTGGCTCTGGCCTATCTGGCACAACACAAGGCCTCTCTGACCTTGGGCGTAACACCGATCGAGGTGTACTCGGAGGTGTCGGACGGGGAGCAGACAACGTCGTCACTGGACTGACTAGCGGTCTAGGACAAGGGCTGTCGGCGTTGGGCAATGGAGTTGGGCAAGGCCTCAACTCTGTGGGCTCGGGGGTGAAGAAGACGGGACTCTAAGCGCGATCTGTCTGTAAGTACTCGCCCTCGCTCGTCGCAGAGGTTGGAGTTTGACTTGAGCGATGTAGCATTGGATGAGGCAACCCCCTGAGACTGGCAAGACGTCGGATGACGCCCCGCCCCGTACCTCTTGTATCATTCTGCACCTTTCATTGGACCTCGTCCTGTTGCGTCAATGTTAAAGCTGTGAGATGGCTCGTCCTGTATTGCAGTCGCACGCGCTTGATCAGTAGGCGATATGCGTAGCCATAGTTGAGTCGCTGGTGTTTACTTGGACGCTAGCGACATGGATTCGAGTGCAACACAAGATTATCATTGGATCGGTAAAGCTATCATACGAGACCCAGATCCCAACATGTTGCGAGGCGGTTCGGATGGCCGATAGTAGGCTAGAGGCAGAGTGCATAACTTCGTAAGGGCTCAATCTCTCCGCGGGGACAGGCGGGGACCTCATGGGGCAGCGAACGACCCGACGCCTTCATGTCGATGGCGCTGAGGGTCTGCCACGAAATGTAGCTCAACGAATCCGCAGTCGATCTCCATAAGTGGGATGTCGACTCATAAGCAGCCGAGATCCCAGCCGAGCGGCTGTATAGTACGGGCGAGGACGATGGTTTATTGCGTGAGCGTGGCTGAACATGGATCAGTTTCCTGAGGTGGACCCCTTAATCTATTAGACGTACTTGGCCACACGGGAGCGAGATCAGCCTGAGTACTGAGTGTTGTATAGGGCGTAGGCCGCAGTAGCATCTTGCGGCACGACGCTACGTGCATAGGCTGGGAAGAGGGGCGGTATGGTAGGCCAGAAGGGGCAGAGGAAATCTCGCGCGGGTGGCGGGAGATACAATAGCAGAGATTTGGCAGCAGAATTGGCAAGTATGCTCAACAATGCCGATCCCCCGCGCTAGCTGCCAGAACCAGAGTAAGAATGGAGAGGAAGTCCAAGTTCACCACCACGTACGCAATTTACCCAGTGTCCTGGACCCGCCACCTCGAAGTCAACCTCCCGCCCTCCAATGCTTGCCTGCTAAATGGCACTGAGGCGCACATTCTAACGAGACAGGGTGCGCTGCGTTGGTCCGAAGTAGCGAGCCACTAGAGCATCTCCGTAGCGATCTGGGAGCGGGCGACATGTGCAGATGTGAACGCGGGCGCCGGGCTCTGGTTTCACGCTGCCAGGGCAGCGACACGTGCAAAGACCGGATGTTCCCACGATCCCCGACAACGTGGGCCCCCGTGGGCCGATCAGCGAGGCTCCGACCACCGTCTGAATTCGTCGAATGCGGCGGCGCAATACGTCTAGTGTAGAGCCACCATCTGGCTAATACTCACTCTCTGGTATTGTCTCACTCAATTCATGCGCGAACGAGGGGCAGTTGTACGGTCCCCCCCTCAGCGGCCCTCAGCGCGACTCTTTCCAGAAGCAGCTTCTATGTACTAACGAAGAAACCGCCATGCCGTCCCCGCCATCCGCCCCCTCTCAAGACCACCTCCTCAAATCGGGGGCCCAAGGGACTCTGCGTTGCTTCTTCTGATCGCCATACATCATTCACGACGGGCCATGTACCGCGAGAGCAGGGCGACCACGGAGACCCGCTGCTTCGACCGCGCGAGTCTGCAGAATGGAATTTAGCATCCTTATCAATGCCTCGCATGGAAGTGCATGTTGCGGTACGTCCGACATCCGGGCCGCGTCCTTATTTTTGCTTACATACGCACAATCAAAAGCAACCACATTGTACTGGCGAGTCACGCTATGTGTCACATTACAGGTCACGCTACAGGCTACGCCAAGCCTATATAAGCAAGCCCCCTTCAGGCAGAATGTCCCCCACTCGCCCTACTAACTCTCGTACTCCGCGCGCTACATCCTACCTTTTTGCCGTCGTTCGACGTGCTCCTCGCCAACTGGCATATATCTATTCTCATCCATGGACGCTTTCGCCACTATCCCCAACTTCGCTGCTCCGGACATCCTAGAGTCAGACAACGCGTCTATACTCGTATCGGACAACACCCCCGACGCCATCATCGATCTTCCTGTCAATGCGGAGAGGGGTGATTTCTCCAGCGACACGCACACTATATGTGTCATCTGCTAAACCACACTCATTGTGCGTACTTTCTTTGCGCGACGGCGCTCTTGATAGCAGGCGTGCTTACCCTGATTCTCAGTGTGATGTTACTCGGGTCTTCGATGCCCCGAGCACTCAAGAGCGAGGTTCTCAGCCTGCGCCACTCGCGCGACGTGCTGTCTCGCGCAATCACTTGTACACTATCCAATGACCCCGACCTGCTTCTGCGATCTCTCCCGTGTCCGCCTTGTACCACCTCTATCCCATGTGCCATCCCTCGACGTGTACTATATTCCAAGCGACTCAACCTCTTGCAACCCACCCCGACTCCCCTATTTATCATTATCCGTGTTTATTCTTCGTTCTCCGCGACACCTCGGCCTCTCGATGTAATCACGATGCCTCCACAGTCCTTCCCTACATCAAATATCCCATCACCCTCACCATCCTCTCCTCCGAACCCCATCGCACGGTTTCCCGTCGTATCGCTTAGAATCTTAGAACACCTGGTTGTGCGACCCTCCTGTAAAGACTCAAGTCATGTAAAAAGCACTCTGCCATCCGTCTACGTTCTAAATCACTCAGTGATTGCCAATCTTACTGCAGTGTGAAAGACGCCAAGTCGCAACTGACAATCCGCCGCACGTAACCGCATCTCTCTGGCCCTTAGAATGCCGATGTGTGACTGTTTAGCGCGTCTGACTGGGACCCATAACCACCTCCCACCCACAACTAACTCGCACCCATAACCACCTCCTCGTCGGTGCGCCACCTTCATTTGAGCTTACCCTCCGCTTAGCGCTCTTCGCGAACCGTCCGAAGGACCTGGGTGTCCCCCGAGGCCGTCGTGGTGTCAGGAAACTGATCGGAGACTGTTCAGACCAGATTTCGCCCAAATGGCGACGCGGGATTGAGACTGAAGGCCATGGGTAGTCATACGGGTCTCTGCCTGACCTGTGTGCATGCATCTTCATTCACTCAGTGTGAAATCACTGGGGCTCATTGTCCATCTATCCGATAGCGGAGTGACACATTACGGCACACGCCTGCAGACGCTCAAGACCTTACAAAGGTTGCCGATTCTCACCGGGGGGTCTACGAAGCGTAAGGAGACAGGAAGTAGCACTGTATATTGACCAGGAAAAAGGCGACAAGGGAGTCGAAACGGAGACACAGATGTAACATACATGGGGCATAGAGGCATACAGCGGGGCATAGAGACGCAGATCGGCTACAGGTTCACGGGACCAGGAGAAGACGAGGCGAACGAGAAGTACGGGGACGGAAGGGTATCGCAATGCCGACTCGCCGGACAGAGCACCGTCTAGACAGAACGGTGGTGAGACGAGTCGGCAAGAACACGCACGCCGTGAATGGCAGCGTGCTCGGCCTGATGGGGGCGTAGCCCTCGAGGTCCCGGTCAACCTCGGTAGCATCGCGCTGAAGGGCGCAAGGCTAGAGGCAACAGAGAAGACTATCACTGCCTCGTCAGACTTGTGATGAGGACGGAGCAGGGTATACACATACAGTAGATGTGTGGCACCTCGACAGCTTGTCGGGGTGCCACGCGCTGGTCATGCGATGGTACACTGTGCATATGTGTCGTTACTTCCATGCTCCCCATCGACAGGCACGTCGGACTGAACGTCGGTTCGGGGCGTGAAGTCGACGTCGAGTTGATCGAGCTGATCCGGAGTAGAAAGGTCTCTAGCGTCTCTGGCGTCTCTGGCTGCTGCCGAGTAGAGAGTGCTGAAGCCCTCAGAAAGTACGATGAAAGTATCCATTGGTAGTGACGACGATGAGCAAGGAGGTGCTGAGTATGGCGGATTTGGGAGCTCTGAGCAGAGAGTGTGCAAAGTGTGACACAGAATGTGCAGCTTAGGGTGGGGGGGTCAAGGGACAGTGCAGTCATTCTAATATGACATAAGGACAATAGAAGATCCGTCACCTTATCGCGACTTTCCCACGGAGAACAACCACAGTACCTGGCACTGTCGGATACAGTATTATTCTGTAGCTATCACAATACGCTCGCGATAACAATACGATCGCAGTGTTGGCGGTATCTGTTCGACGATTCCAGAAGGCTAGGGAGATTTGAGACCTCTTTTATGCGCTCTTCGGGGGCGTCCTCAGTCGAAGAACCGTCCACGGCGCTTCCCGAGCGCTGGGCGCTGGGCTCCAGCCCCCAGCGCGCAATGATGGAGAAATGCGGATGAAGCTGCATGGCCACGGAGAACCCCTAGGACTGTGCATTCGAAGGGTGGTTGAGCCGCAGCGAGGGTGCTTGGACAAGCCGTAATAATTCGGGGTCTCATATTGAGAGCGCACGACCTAGTCTATCTGGTGGTGCTTGACCATTGTGAGATTGCGTCTGGTATCGGGCTCGCTCAGCATACTGTCGCTGAGCTCCGGGTGACCCGTACGTACCGGGGCGACTTGACGAACCCAAGTGGTTCAGTCTGGTGGAGGGACCGCGCGCTCGGCGACAGTGTCGGGTTTTCCGCGTCCCAAGCATTTCAACAGCGAGATAAAGTCAGATAGCAATCGATGAAGCCATTTGTACCACCAGAGGGAGAGGAAGGCCAGTGAGACGGTCACAGGACGCTCAATAAGGCTGTCGGGATGAGCGCCCTCTAGGCTAGGGTTAATCTGATCACGAGAATACGGCCGCTGAATGATGGATATCGTCTGGAGGTCACAGTAAGCAGTAGACAGTCTTCAAAAACAGTAACCCTGTTGACGCCAGCACACGAGAGATTAGGATCCCAGCCTATTAGGGATGGTGGTCATTTCCTGTCAACTCGAAGGTTGGGCGCGGGTCGGACCTGCGGACGGCGTCCGGGCCGATCCGGGCCGAATTCAAACGTGTCAACCAGGGCCGCTAGCGCTGGCCGGCCTGTCTCACCCACAGCCCGGTCCCCAGCAGCGTGTACTAGTATTTCCTTCCGAATTGGTGACAGTCGTCCGGGTTCGCGGCGGAGAACAGACTAGTGAGAACGAGAACGACCGACCTGAAGAATGTCGAATACCAAGTCATTCAGCGTCAACAAGAGGTCGAACGGACTGTTGATCGTATTGTAGGATCCGAGATATGATGTACGTGCAATCGTAAAAGCGTATGATATCGATAACATGGCGACAAAGCGGTAGAACTACAGAGTCCTGGGATAAAAGTACACGATGGAGCGAGATGGAACGAATGGAAATGACGGGGCTGCGCGCTAGCGGGCAGGTGTAAAGAGTGTATGGGGGTAGGCGTAGTCCCGAGACGAGACGACGAGAAGCCAAGTGCATACGTGACGGACGGAACAATGATGGAATGCATCAGTCTAGAAGCGCGCAGGCATTGGAGGTGCAGGTGGTAGCGTGTAAGGGATGGAGGGCATGGTCGGCGCAGCCGACGTAACGTCTGTCGTCGCCATGGAGTATGTCGACGCGGTAGGAGATCCAGGAAGAGAAGCGTCTTTCTTCTTATCGAAAACGGATAGGGAGGTGGGCGATTGTCCTTGACCGGCGTACAAGGGTGGCTTGGGTGCATACAAAGGTAAGGCGGCGGTCGAATTCGATTCGTCGCGCAAGCGACCAACGGTCCTGAAGAAGGCGTCAGCGGAGAAAGTGAAAGAGATTGTTTCCAGACATACGGTGCACGTAGACGGAACCAAGAGCTAGATAAGCGGCGAGGCAGATCGCTCGGCACCAAGCGGGAGGCCACGGCATGGAGAGCGTCGCTATAGTGTTTGCGGGCTTCTTGGGCAAACCCGAAGAAGCAGAAGAAAACGATAGCGCAGAAGACAAATAACCATCGATCCATCTCCAACGCAACCGCGGTCACCGTCTGCGCGCGCCAGATGACAGCGGGTATCTGGCCTACTCGTCCGAAGTTGAAATGGGTGTCTTCCCAGCTGACCCATGGTTCGACACGAAGATACGTGGCGTTCCAGACGATGGCCCAGATGGCGAGAGGTGTATTGAAGCACAGCTCGGTCGTTGAAAGAGCAATCAGGCGAGCATATCGACTGCGAGTGAGTGCCTTGTTGGAAGACATGAACTCTTGCAACGCAGCGCGCCGACGCCAGAAGGCGAGCATAGAAAGCGCTATAATTCTACATTAGTGGAAGAACACGGCGTTTGCGCTGGCGCACGTACCCCCGTATGTCCCTGACGCGACGCCGAGCATCAATGGCCACGAGTATACCAGTAGGAAGGCGGGTGGGGTATCATAAACGACCGGAAAACACCCGATATCCTCGTAGATGTCGTAACGATGACCTTGCACGATGTACGCTGCAAAGATGGTGATCAGAACGTCATTCAGAGTCACAGAGACTCGACTACGCACCGAGGGGCAGAGAGAGTAACGGACATGCCACACAAATGAACGTGTCGACCATGATGTTGCGACATTTCTGTCCAAGGATCAGGTGGGGGATGATGGCGCAGAAATATGCGAACTGACCTCTTTGTGAGAGACAGAGACGCTCTGCATGTGTGCGATGGTATACAAGCGACGGTTGATACAGAGGCATGACGCAGGAATACCGATGACCGCAGCCAGAAAAACGCGTGTGGCTATCACATCGTTAGCACTTCTCTCGCAAAGCAGAAACGCGACTACACACATATTTCACACCAAGCTGGCGCCACATCAAGAACGTTACCGTGCCAGATGATAGAGTTGATGAACTGATTGAGACAGGCGATGGCGGTCCAAATCATGTAGTAGCATGTCCCCGAGTTCCAAGCGTGAAGATGCCAAGGGAGAGGGATGAGGCAGAGCACAAATCCCAGGAATGAGAAGACTGGGAAGACAAGAGACGAGTCCGGCATCGCTGGCTGTTGGGCTGCAGAACGGTGAAGAAAACAAGAAACGGACGCAGACGGGCGTTCGACGAGGTTCTTCCATCATACGGAGGCCTTTTTGAAGGTACGCTGCCGCTAAGTTTACACCGGCGATGGTAAAAGAGACAAAGGAACGCCGCGCCTTCGTCTCCCAGACAAAAGGACCGTGACGGCAACACACGTGACACAGCGCGCCCGTCACGATCACGGTACTTCGGCTCGATACGAGAGGAGTTGCAACGCGTCGCACGGGTCCCCTCCAGATACGGACAGTGGGCCCTTTGCGTTCAATTAGCTCAGTCTCGTCGCTGTGTGTCCGTGAAGGCTACGGCGTCTAGCACGCGCAAATTAGGTACTGCCATAGAAGCCTGAACGGCAGACAGGAGAGATGATACATGTTGCAGAAGTTTGACTGATTTACAAGGCATATACCTTTACAGATATGTATGAGTAGATGCCGGCACAATCGCGCTGAGAAGACAGAGTACCACAAACGTCCGGGGACATGAGGAGAGCGGCGCTCTTGGCTCGTCGACTATATCCTCCCCCTCACCCCTGCTACCTCATGCAGCTGGCTTGTAGTGTCTCCCTATGTATAAACTATGCCTCGATTCTGGGTCCAGATCGGCTCATCAGTTGCTGAATACACTGGTCGCTTCAGAATTGCCATATACACACTCCGGCGTCGCACCCGATGAGCAATATAACGAAGAAGCTGCGTTTCTCACATAGATATCGCTTCAAATTCCGAACCCTGCAAGCCTCTGATAGTCAGATCAGATCAGATCACGATGTGCTGCAATCAAAGACGTGTCGCACGTCGATATATGTGTCGGTGGAGAAAGGTGGAGAAAATACCCTTTGTTCATGGTGGTCGAATGTTTAGGCGTCATTCCAATCGGAATCATAGCGTTTGCCAATTCTAGTCAAGTAGTGCATTGCGTGCGCCGAGCCCCCCAAATCCTCAGATCCTCATAAGCCAATGTGCCGGCTGTCATAAGGCATCCGACACTGATGTAGCTTGGAGTAGAAGAATGGCAATTGCGCCAGCCGAGGGCGGTGCTTGTCGATCAATAGTGAGAGTTCCTATTGTGCACCCGAGCCCGTGAGTAGAGTAGAGGCATGAAGCCTATAGCAAATCTATCCGTTCAACTGGCTTTCTGGATTGCGCATTCTGGATAGCGTAGCAAAGTACAGTAGGATGAGCGGGGTCATGACGAAGGAGCAGGACGAAGAGCGCGCCGCGGCGAATTTCCCGGAAATTGAGTCACATGCATGTTTCGATCACGGCCCCTTTTTTCCGTCACAGCGCCAATTAGCGATCCGTACTTATCAGGTTCTTGCAAGCTTATCTTAGAGTCTATGTGATACAGGCGAAGCTACTTTATAGCTGGCACCAGTCGGGATGTGGGTATGGGCTATGGATACAGGGAGGGCTATAGGAGCAAGTATCAAACCTAGGGCATACAGCTGAAGTCACAATTCGTGATCGAAGGGCGAGCCCTAGCGCATCTATGGTTCTCTCCATGAGCATGAGATCTGGCAAGAGCCGTCAAGGACTCACGATAACATGAGGCATTTGAGAAGGTATAGAGCAGCATGGGTATATGGCATAGTGGCATAGTCCAATATGGAAGGAAGGGGAGCTGTAAACACCGGAAAGTCAGGTCAGGACTTGATCCCGGAGGGCGTGAGTGACACTCACCTATGTGCTATGCGATCACACAGCTTACGCTAGGAATGCCCGCGCTACTGTCCGCATCTAGCGGTACATCAGCACAAGGGCGCTCCTCTGCTGGGGTTGGCGTAGGGGCCAGCAGGATGAGGGCGGACAAGTCGAGATCGCAAAGGTGATCCATTGGTGAAGTTGAGGACGGCTGATGCGCAGTATGCGAGCGATATGGATCGATGTGTGCGGTTGACGCGAGAGCACTAGGCGTAGCTGAATGCATGTAGCTGTGGCGAACCACAAGAGTTAAAAAGCAGTATGACAATGACACTGGCGGCAATTGTCTTCAATTCGTACATCTTGGAGGGTGGGAAAGTTTGCCAGGAGAGAACGCCGGAACCCGCTATTGTTGGACTGAAATGTAGTATTCGTTTCAACGTTGGGCGCACCTGTACGACATGCTCGAGGCACTATTCCTGTCTGTCAGGTCTAGATGCGCGACAAGGTATTGTCCTCCACCGTGGAGAGATCGAGGCGCGAGGAGGGTGGCATCACTCTACCGTAGCTCAGGGTCTCCCACTGCGCTGCGAGTCAATGGCGGAGACCGTCCTAGGTATAACGGTGTACGAGTTTCGTCGAGAGCATGGTGGCTGCAAGCAGACATTGCGGGAGACTCGCTCCCAACCGCGACATCCGAGTGTGCGGATCGGGTCGGGTGCGCCGAAACGCCCCGCAGGCTTTTGATTTATTCTCGTCGTTGAACGTCGTAGCGCTGCCCGAGTCGTCTGAGTCGCGATAACAGTGTGAGACCCGCCGCGTGTAGAGTCAACCGGATACAGTGAGTGGCGTCACCACTTTTGACTCCCTGAGGAGAAATTCATATGGATGGACACTGAACAGATAGTAGTATACAATCCCGACAGCCAGGAACCCTAAACAACAGTAACAGGCAAGACGTGCGCTGACGTACATGGTGTGTGCGAAGGAGATGGTGGTGGTACAAGTAAGGATAGGAAGGGCGTCAAAGTCGTTGAGAGGCCAATATAAAGATATCGTGAATCACGTTAAACGTGAATAAATCAGACATGATAAGGAGTGGCGTGAGCGCGAAAGGCTATGTTGGGTAGGGTGTGGATGGCGGGTTGTATGCAGTTTGGGGGGAACGAAGAGATCGATGAGAAGAGGAATGTATCGCAGGGGGGAATCGAGGTGAGGGAAAGGAGATGATGGAAGGCGAGTGGTGGCGAGACGAAAGGGTGGGCATGGGGTTGAGGCTCCAAGCCCGCAAGGCAGTACAAGCCCTCTAGGCTGAGATGAAGGGAGCCTTTGGTACCGACAGGCTGGAGTATGGGTTGGCGATGCGAGTGCTGTTATCACATTGAGCGTAACGAGCATACATCGGGATGATGCGCGGACATACCAGACCTAGGCAACAACGCAGCTAACGCTCGGATTCCTCTCACACTTGTCGGCGTCAACCAGGAAATCCATGGCAGACTTCGCGCCAGACGCGTAGGCGTCACCGGAGGACGTGGGAAAGTTGACCATGCCGGGAAACTGGACCTCGTCGAAGGCATCCATTGCGACGGGTTTTAGGGCGGAATTGTGGGAGTAGAGGGTGGAGGATGGGAGGGCGGCGGTGAGCGACTCTGCGCAATAATAGGGACTGCAGGGGTGGGGCGTAGTGAAGATTCCGGGGGCGTCTTCGCCTGAATTTATAGGCGTGCGGTTCGGCCTGCCTCGTGCTCGACGCAACCACCTCGATAGGAATCACGCAAGCGTTAGCTCTTCCGCCCGTACGAGACATCGGAAGCATCAGAAGCCTGCATAAATGATAAGGGTAGAACGTGGAACAGCACCCACTATCGAAGTTCATTCCTCGACGACGTTGACAGGGTACTGTACGACCCAAGGCGCGCAGTCCCGCAAAATTTGGCCTGTCGCGCCTCTGAACTCCGTGAACTAGACCAGTATCGCACAGGTATAATCTTGACAGGCCTACCTCCTTCAGTAGTCTCTTGAACTGTAGAGATGAGCGAGTGGGTAAAAACTGGTACCACCATTGAATTCATCTGGCAGACGTCGCCCGATACGAGACCCAGAGGTCATAGGGTCCGTAAAATGCACGCAGAAGGTTGAGAGTAGCAGTGGCTCGAGTCGGCGCCTTGAGGGCGCCACACGACCTGTGCCCGTCCGGAGTAGGCAAAACAATGGAAGTCAATGGGAAGAGCCGCCATGGCTCGGCGGCCGCGGATAATCATCGTGGTCACGCCCATGACAGGAAGCAAGCGTGACAAGCACGGCCGGTCCGCCTCAATTGTACGCCGTAGTGACACGACAACAATAATACAATACAGTGTCGTAAGAGCGAAGAACCTCTTCGAGTACTGAGTACTGAAGTGATGCGAGAGCGCAAGCAAAGGAGCGCTGTACAGCCTCCCGTGGATGTTCGCCACCGACTTTATCCTTGCCAGACTTCGTTCGGCAAGCAGTGGGCTCGACTTTTCCCGTCCAACGCACTACAATGACGGGGAGCAAGGTGCATTCGTGCGTGATAACGTAGGGTACGTGCTAGTAGTACATTCCAGGGTATAGAGCTACATGAGGAAAACAAATGCGACACAACTAAGCGAGTGGCAGCGCGTGGCGCAGGGTAGTAAGAGATCATGAACAGCAGAGAAGATCGAAGGACAGTGGAGGCCATGACGGACAGCAGGGATCACGAGAGCAAACGGAAGGAGTGAGTGAGAAAGATCTAAACGACGCTATCGTTCGGCTTGCCGGAAGCATAGGAGAGATGAGGAAGACCCGGCGGGCCTTCTATGGGTGTTGTTGGAGAGTACAACGTCTCGTCGCCGGCGGTGGATGTGTACTGTGAGGCGGTCTCTGACCAGGAGTGATCGAACGATGAAGGGCTGAGCTTCGAGGAGGGCAACGACTCGGAGGCGTCGGAAGGGCGCTTCTTGTCGCTTGGCGATGCGAGGGTGTTCATAGACATATCACCGAAGGAACCGAGCGGTGGCGGTGTGGGCCTTAGGAATGATCAGAGGCATGCTCAATGAAGATAACAGGAAAGCAGACATACTTGGTGAAGTTTGACGTTCCGCTGAGCTTCGCGACCTGGACCTTGCGCCGGAGTACAGTCTGGGCGACCCACGATCCAACGGCACGGTACTGGTCCATGGCTTCTTGCCCGAAGGCAAAGAATGCGATGAAGATCCACGCTGATATAGGCACGAACCACCAGAGAACAATCTGGCCACGGATGGTCGTCTCTGGGAGGAACGCGAGAGGATACTGGTCGACGCGACCAAAGTCAGAGTGCACATCAGCCCAGTTCGTCCAGGGCCGGATGCTCGGGACGTTGTAGTAGAGTGTGAAGGCGGTGACAGCGACGGTCCATGTCATGAGAACGACGGACATCATAATGAGGCGCATGTACTTCGTAGTCGTAAGCGCTGAGCGATGTTGAAGGTGGTGCGCGAAGCTGATGCGTCGACGCATGAAGTGGGCAAGAGAGGCGCCCGCGAAGCCAAGGCTCGCTATAGCGAGGGCCAACGGCAGCGTCCAAACAAGGATGATGGCAGGCCAGGAAGTATATGTGGACGGTCTGCAGCCGAAGTCCTCGAGAATGTCGAAACGATGGCCTTCAACGATGTAATCTGTGCGGGACATCAGCTCATAAAGCAGAGATATGGCATCGAGACAACTCACGGAGAGCGACAAAGACGCATGGGAACAGGACGCACGCAGCAGCCTCGTAGTATTGGCGTCTCCGCCGACTTTTGTGCGTAGTGAGCACACTGCGAACCGATGCGATCTGCTCCATGTGTACGGTCACGCAGAGACAAGCGGTAGGAAGGGCTACGGTGGCGCCGAGCAGGATACGGTTACCTAGATGCGGCATCAGCAGAGCTTCCATAGCAAACCTTCCGTGTAATGTACGTACTGATGTCACACCAGACCTTATCCTTGATGAGAACGGTACCGGCCCAAAGGATTGCATCGATCCCATAGACGAGGTTAACGAGTAAGAGCCAGATGGTCATGGACAACATGGCGACGTTTCCTGACTTGTAGTGGAAAGGTATAGGGTCGAGAAGAAGGACCGCATTGAAGAACGTCACGATGGGGAATTCTAAGTGCTGCATGATTGCAAGGCGGACCCGGGACGGAGCGCAGCGGGAAACGGAGTGCGAAGGCGAGTGGGGGATGCACAGAGTGCAAATGCCAAAGAGCAGAAGGCCATACTTATGTGGTGATGGGAGAGTATCCAATCTTTCTCAAGCCCTCTAACGCGAGCTTCAGGGGGGGTTGAGTACAAAGGACTGGCGGAAGACAATCGAGAGACGATCCTTGGTGCCAACAACAAAGGCGCTGTCGCCTATTGACCGCCGCGTGTTGATGCCATCAATTTCCCCCGGTCAGTTGGGACCTTCACAGTACCCTGTCGCTTTCACGTAGCGTAGGGCCTGAGTGATATGGTAGACGCGTGACACAAAGTATTACGAAGACAGATGCGACTGTGCTGCTGCCTTGGCTTCAGCTACATAACATCCGACCCGCTACTCTCCCGCCCTCAAGAGTTTATTGAAATTGAATATTTGAGGAAGTTGCGAGACGCCCTTGCTGGTTGTTTGTAATCCCACAATTCTCTTCCAGTCATGCGCATCCGGTAGCTTACTGCCTGACGCACAGAGGATGGATATTGGCCGCCAATGAACTAACTCAGCCTAACCGCAACGACTGCAGTGTGATCATGACAGTAGTTGGCTCGTAGTTGGTTTACTCTTTCAGGTGTCTACATAAAAAACATACAAGTCGATAGTCACAGGTCCAGAGACCCAAGTATTTGTCCAATTCGGGCGGAATACAAGAGGATGCACAACTCAATGGAGAGGTGGTGGTCACGGTCAAAAAGAGGCGCCCCGAGCGAATGCCGCCTGCAACTCGGACAAGCGCCCCAGGCGTGGCAGACGCGGCGTAGCTCACACCTTGCACCCCACCACCACTGCCTATCATCTCACCCCCACGCCCTCCCTCGCATACGCTCTTTCTCGTACCCTGCTCACTCAATTCTTACCGGATCATGGCTCCCATAAAGTCTCGTGGTGGTCGTTCTGCCGCTCCAGTATGTAGACTACTCGGCGCAAGAGCAATCCTGTTTTAAAGTGTCCACTCTAGCCTCGCTCTGCCGACGACATGTGGGTGCACGACATGCACGACAAGCCCCATGCCACACTCCGTGAAGCGCCGTCAGGTCCGCCGACGGCCCAGCTTCTTGTATCTAACCTCCACTACGAGGTCACGGTCAAGGACCTGGCGGTACGTCCCCTAGTCAATATCTTTTGTGCCACCAGTCTGAGCTGTTTAACATCATACAGGCCGTATTTGGGCAGATAGGCACGCTTGTAAGCGCGCCGCAAATTAGGGTACGAACCTCCGACTACCTCGACCCCCGCGCGTAGAAGACACCCCGTTCTTTCGATCGACTCAATGGCCATGACGCGTCTGCGGCTGTGGGCACGGAATATGAAAAGAGGAAATTCGCAAAGCAGCAACATTGACACGGACTCTTCGCTCGCGCGGTATTGCACGATGGTACTTACTTCCCCTTTCTTCCGGATTAGTTCGACCGCAGCGGTCGCTCCCAGGGCATTGCGGTCATCTCGTTTGAGACCCCTGCCGAGGCGACGCGCGCACGAAATCAGCTTCAGGGTGTCCTTGCCAAAGGTATTGTCGCTACTTGTGTATACCGGGGCCATATGTTGAACTCATCTAGGCGAGCCCATGTCGATCGAGTTCAAGCGCGACGTGCCCAAGCCACGCCGCAACTCGGAGCCGGGAGCGACTGGGACACCATCGCTTCTCAACAGGATACGAGACGCGCCGAAGGCGCCTCTCTCACAAAGGCTCAATAAGGCGGAGCATGCTGCAGCGTACGTCCATCTCTCCACCCATGCAAGAATCGCCGCTCAACGTTGCTGTAGTAAGAGCGCGAAAGCAGCAGCAGTGAAGGCATCCGCACCGGGCGGTCGTGGTGGCCGTGGCGCGCGCGGAGGTCGTGGAGGTCGGGCGCCGCGCGAGCGAAAGCAACCAAAGACGGCGGACGATCTCGACAAGGAGCTGGACGCATACCTGGGGAATGACAAGGAGAAGCCAGCGCCTGCTCCGGCGTCGAAAGACGCGAACGGCGACGTGGAGATGTCCTGAGTGTCCGCTGCGTGATTGTGTATATTACCCCAGTACTTGTCTTTGCTCTCCTGGTATGCGCTTGATGTATGGACGTGATACTATCCGTGCTAGTTCTCGATAATCCATCCAAAGTCTGAGAATATATCGCGTGATTATCGGTAATCTTACTGTCTGCTTTCATACATTGTGACTGTGGCGTTGGATGGCGCGTCAGGCGCGTAAGAACCATTCACTTCACCAGCGCACTGTCCGCGCAAATCGCGCTGGCATGTCTCGAACGCGTTGCGATGGCGTCCCAGCCGCGGTAATCGGCACTCTTTTGAACGCTTTCCTCTAAGCTTGAGTCTTGAACCTCTCGCTCTGCAATGCGTAAACTCCGGGTAAAACCCCAGATGAGATGAACAGTGTCGACCAACGCTCTGTACTAATACATGATAAGGGACTAGTACACCAGAGAGTGCAACGGGGACCGATAGCGCGAAAACATTGGCGAGGACGATGCTACGATGAAAACATGGTGAAGGAGCGACGGGCAATGCACGAGCTTGAAAGCGACGAAGACGCAGTGAAAGAATGGTGCTCAAAGCAGCAGAAGGGTATGTGGTCTGGTAAGACAGTCAGCGTAGGGGTGAAGGTGAAGGTTTTTCGGAAACGCACGGCGTAACCATCGCAAGTGTGTGGTCGACGTAATCAGTAGTCGCGCTTCCAGTCGGCATGTCCAATGCCAAAGCGCTTCGAGCTAGATGGCTCAAAGCCGTGGTGCTCCTGGAAGTACGTCAGGGATGGTCGTATGGCCATCTCTCAGCAGTCTATCGCACCTCTGCGCCGATGATAACCTGACCAACGGGCGTCAGCAGAAGTTTACACAAAGGCGAAAGACTACGCACAGGAGCCGCCATGACAGACACAGCAAGAGCAACGAGCGAGAACGCAATGGTACTGAACCTCATGTTGGTCAATGAGTCGTGAGCACAAGAAGTGAGTGGCGCGAAAGAGCGAAAGAAAGGCGTGTATGAGTTTGTTGTCAAACGGCAGTGGAGCGCGCTCTCTTATACAATGCCGTTCAGGGACGTTGCCAGCTCCGGGTTATGACGACGCTGGCAAACATATAGATGCAGGCGGAGACGAGATTAGCTTCTGACGGTCGTCGTTCAAGCTCAAGATTGAGACCTCCCGACAGCCTGTAACCAGACAGGACAGGTGCGAGCCGCGCGCAAATTCAGTATCGTTGACAGGATATGAGTCTTAATCCGTATCTCTGAGTGGCCACGCCTCGAGCCTGCACTGTGTTGGACCTCCTCGAGTACCCAACGGCATTGCATGGTGAATCGTAGTCGTAGTTTGCGTTCGAGTCCTCGAGGCGCTGAGCCTCGGGAGAGGAGCACACCCAAAGCAGCCCAAAGCGCGTCGGCCGATTCGAGCCGTCAGCGCGCCCTGGCGCGCCCGCCGTGCTCTTGCGCTTGAACTTCGACCGCCATCAGCGTAGGGCGTGGCTTAATCGATACAGTTGCTAGCGATCAGTCGTTCGCGCGTTCACAACTTGCTATTCATCTGCACACCATATCCGAAAACAGCGACACCTTGAGTTCTCCTGCTACAACTCGACAGCAGCTATCCAAGCTTTGGAGGCGATCGTCGTCACAAAAGCCGCTGCTACCACGACAACGCCCGTCTAGCGGCGTCCACGCCTGTTACTCTGTACAGCTTCCCTACAGGAGACAGTTGTATACGGCCGTGCATGCGCGATTTTCGGGTGGTTCGGGTCCAGGCTCGGACGGAGGTCGAGATCGATACCAGCATGACTTTGAGTGCTGCGGGATGGCGACGTCTGTCGCACATCCCGGTGCTGAAAACTGCCCGGCGGCCTGTCACGGGCGTGCCGCGACGCGGGGGAGGAGGGCAACGTTTGTTTCATTCATGCAGCTGTGCGCGCTTGCCATTCTGGTCCTCTCTCAAGAACCCCACCCTCCGATCTGATATATGATAACCAACCCGCTGCGACAACATCAACTCGATCTATATGCATGAATCAACGCCTTTGGGCCTGCAGCAAACGAAACAAGCCTTCTGTACGCGGGTGCAAAAGGGTGCCTCTTTTCCATCCGTCCCTCTTTCACCCGGCGGCTCAAAGAACAGCTGCTCTCGATGAACCAGGCGGATCATGATCCAGGCGTCGTCAACCGGGCTCCAGGCGTGTACATACCGCCAAATGCCATTTTTGCGTAAGGTTGGCCGCCGTCGGAAGCTTGAGCGGAACTCTTGCGCAGGCCGAAGAAAGACCTCGTCCGCGTGGGGGCGGCGTTTGTTGCTTCGGCCAGTCTCGGGTGCCGGTCATGAAGGAGGTAATGTGCCCACCAGTATTGGTACGTTCTTCTCCGCGCCTGCCCGAGCTACGCCGTAAACTCACGGGTCGAGACAACAGTTGACGCCTTTAAAGACACTGGTCCTTCGTCCGAGATGTACCCTACGCACCGGTATCCATGGAGCTCTCTACAACACAATGGACTGCCGTCTCTCTAGGCGGCCTTGCGCTAGTCTACTTGGCTCTAAAGCCGTCATCATCACCCAAAGGTGTACCTTTTCCCCCAGGACCGAGAGGTCTTCCCATCGTCGGCAACCTCTTCGACCTGCCATGGAAAGAGGGTTGGATGATTCCTGTCGCATATCGCGACATCGGTCGTCAACTGAGTGAGCCCTTTTACGGAGTGGCGAGCGCTCCGTCTATTGATTAGTAACACCGCCTCCATAGAGTCTGACGTACTGCACTTCACACTGCTGGGAAAGCATATCATCGTTCTTAATTCCAAGGAGGCAACCCATGAACTTCTAGAGGTACGCTCGGGCAAGTACTCGGACAGGTACGGGGACGTACTGTATCTGTACCCGCTGACCTCTAACCGCTGCATTCACTACTAGGCCCCGCTTGAATCTCCTTCGTCACATGTGCGCTCATAAGCGTCTACTGACCGTCGATCATACTCACGAGCTTGTATAGTATGGGCCTCGACTGGCTCGCCGCCATCATGCCGTATGGTAATGACTGGAGGGATATGCGCCGCGCGTACCACATGAACTTCGGCGTTGTAGAGCACCGTGGCGCTGAGACCAAAGCTGCACGTGCGCTCTTGAGAGATCTTCTTGCGGCTCCGGCCGACTTCGCAGCCCACTGCAGGCAGTAAGATTCCCCCAGTCTTGTGACCATACCGATACTTACACGGGTACTAGTCTCATGACAGCCACAACACTCGACACTGCATACGGCCTAGATGTCCAGCATGGCGACAAGTACACTCAGCTTGGCGCCAGCGTCCTGAACGCTGTGGTCTACGGGACGAGTGTCCTCGCTCTGGTTCCAGATGCCATTCCCAGTCGTGAGTTGCTGCAACAGCCCTTTTCACGCATAGCAGCGACCAACTGATTGCGCCACAAAGTGATGCACATCCCGCATGTGATTCTCCGTACGCTCTACTGGAAGTCCTGGGGCTACAGGAGGTCCATCAGCGACATGTTGAACTTGCCTTGGAAGGCAGCGACGGAGGTATATACTTCATCCGCGTCATGCTGGGTACATCCATTGACAATTGTCCAGCAAGAAGAGCCGCGGGAGAGCGTGGCCGCGACGGTGAAGAAGTTGCAAGCGGAAGGCTACTACCACGACGCGGCTCAGGACGTCGCGAAACGGCTCCCAGCTAACATCTTCTTCTGTACGTCTGCATCTGATAATCGGAACGCACGCGGGACTGACTTCGAATGATAGCGGGCGCTAACACTGTGAGTTTGAACGTGCGATATTCGTAAGCGGGGGCGCTGATCAAGGTCATAGAGCGTCTCTTCGGCGACCACCTTCTTCCTCGCCATGGCAAAGTACCCTGAGGTTCAGCGCCGCGCACAAGAAGAGATCGACCGCGTCGTTGGTACCGATCGTCTACCGACATTCGCTGACGAGGCGGATCTGCCATACGTGAACGGGCTCGTCAAGGAGATCTTCCGTTGGCGTCCTACTGCTCCGCTCGCGATCCCGCATGCGTCCATGGAAGACGATACGTATAATGGTCTATTCATCCCCAAGGACGCCCTTGTCATCGGCAACTCTTGGTACGCTCCTCTTGCTGTTGACGCTCGCAGTTGACTAATGGATCGGCGCGTTTCATCAGGGCGATCTTGCACGACGAGAAGGTCTACCCTGACCCGGAGCGCTTTGAACCCGAGCGCTGGCTGAAGAACGAGAAGGACTTCCCGGAAGCTGCCTTCGGTCACGGACGCCGCCAGTGCCCGGCCAAGTACTTCGCCCGCGAATGGTTGTTTATCACCTTCGCCTCCATCCTCGCTACATACAACGTCTCGAAGGCCGTTGATGCGAAAGGCAAGGAGATCGAGCCGGTCGATGACTACTCCGCTACCCTTTTCAGGTGCGCTTCCCCACTGTGTACTGAACGATAAGGACTGAACCGATATCTGTGCAGCTATCCGGCACCCTTCCAGTGCCGCATCGAACCGCGCTCAGAAGCTGCACGCCGGCTGATCGAGACGTCCGACGAGGAGGACCTCTTCGCCGCATGATGCATTCTCTTATTGACTAAATCATCATCTTTCTCGAGAGACAGGGCACGATGAGGAGTTTGAGACGTGGTATGTAGTAGTAGCTATATGCGAGTCCGCTAGAGAGCGGAGATCACAGAAATGTACATCTGAGGGTCATAACTTAGTAGCAGCAATAGTGACAAACTATTTGAAAGAGGCAATCACTAGAGACAGTCTATCTTTCGCAACTTCTCGTGTGCAGGGTTTGGGATATAAACTAAGCAGGAACGGCAATAACCTTCTGATGGCTGAGCACAAAGGGTGCACCGTGATGCACGCGAGTGACTTTCCAGCCCGCCTCAGCGAGTAAAGTGCGGACCTGAGTGAGTGTGCGCTCCGTGCCGCCAGTGAGGGCCATCATCTATGTAGATGTATGTTCAGTAAGTACACTTCGAGAACTCTAAGTTGAATTCGTCGAATACGCACCAGAACATCCATCAGATACGCGGTGCTATTTGCCTGGCCGAGATTAGGGAGGAGTGGCGCCGGAGGCGGGGTGATTGCAGCCCCCGGGATTTCGTTAGCGGCGGGCTCATCGCAAGCATATGACATGATGTTGTCAACCACGATGAGCTGGGTCGAAGGTTTTGCAGCCGTTCTGAGATTGCGCAGGATCTTCAGACAGTCCTGGTCGGGGTAGTCATGTAAGATCATGCGGACTAGTCATTATACTCAGGAACTCTATGCATAGAAGCCAAGGTGCCACGCACTCAAAAAGAAGTCAGCATTCTTGACCGGCTGTGGGCCGAAGAAGTCGTGAGCTGTCGCTGATATGAGCCAAGCCAACTAAGCGAGCCGATCATGCTCACCTTGTAGAACGACTCGGCCGTCCTTCAGCGCATCGGGGTTAGCATCTTGCCAGAACTATTAGAGACCATGAGTGAGAAATGCAAGAGTGCAAGAAGGGATCGGCACGTGCGGTCTTAGTGTCGGTCGTAATCAGCTGCTCGCGGTCCTGCACAATGAACCTGAGGCGCTGGAACTTGTTTGAAAGTGTCAGGGATTGTGCGCCGACACCGCCACCAACATCCACCACGAGTGCATCAGGCCCCGGGGCAGTCCAATCTACGCCTACAATATGCAGATGTCAGGTATCAATGCGGGAAATCGATCGAGAATGAAGTCTTACGCACCCTCCACTATGGCTTCAGCCGGCGACATGTGCTTGGAACCCTCCATAGTCATAGCGAATCTGTTTCTGCGGTACTGCTGCTCCTCCATGTCGTAGAAGTTCCAGACGGTGCCCTTAACGTCGGGGAAGGCGCGATTGAAAGCAAGATCAGTGATGTCGTTAGCATGACCCGACACAGGGTCGAGGACTGTCTCGGTCAGGTATGACGTTGACTTCATGCCTTCGTCGGTCCTAGGGCCAGTGAGCATGCTGGAACAACGAGATGCGCGAACAAAGACGCACAACTGCCCGACAGCCGCGGCCAAACCCAGGGTGCCATCGTGCTTCTTCTCGGGCCTAAGCAGAGTTTGAATAGATTGATCGTCGTAGACCGTCGAAGGACTCACTTCTCCAGAATAGCCTGAATAGGCTTCCTAGTATCGAGCAGAGACGATAAACGATTATGAGCGAAGACGTCGGGAGCCACCTCACGAAAGAAGTTGTAAGTGGCGAGTAGGCGTAGCACGCGAGCTATGAACGGATGAGGTTGGCTATAAAGATGGTCTGTCAAGAACGTACAGAGCTTGTCTGGGTCAATCCCGCTAGGCTTCGCTAACTCCTTAACGTGGAGACCCTGCGGAGGGGTGAGCGCCACAAGCGATCTCGTGCGGTGCATAACACATACCTGAGCGCCCGCCGAGCTCAGACTCTCAGCAACATGCGTTTCGGCAGCGATAGACAGTGCAGCAGATACATTATGCTAAGTTTAATAGAGCGACGGGACAGACATCAATGTCAGTTCACAGAGTGTGAACGTCAGTGAAACGCACCAGCAAGGCCGTGTTCACCAGGGTCATTGGAGCGGGGTATACGGTGGCCCGGAGTTGTGCAGCGGCAGCAGCGATGATCGCCGCCCCGTCAAGCACCCCTGGTAGTCCGTAGCTCTCCTGCTCCAATCCAGGATTGAAGGGAGAGTCCAAGGCAGGGAAGTCAAGTCCCTTCTCGGTCAGGGTGGTATCTATCTTCTTGACGTTATCGGCGATGATGTCGCTGAGCTTGTACAGAGCTTCAATGCCTGCGCGACTGTTCCAGAATGGTCAGATGGACGATTGAACAATAGCTATTGTAACTTGCTTGCGAGTTCCTGTGGCAGATAATGAGTCGTGTTAGCGTGTCTCGTAGGGTGTAGGCAGAATCTCAAACATACCCGCGTTATGAGTAGGCAGAGTAGTAGCGTTGGGAGTGTCTGGCATATCGGCGAGAGTCTCAACTGAGAGGGAAGACTTTCAATGATTGTCGAGATCGTTGGGATGAAACTGACAGTTAAAAGAGCTCGCAAGAACGTCTTTTAAAGCCTCACAGCGTCGGTGGTCATCGTGATACTGCCCGAGCGGCACTATCAGGAATACTCTGATGAGCGCGAGGAGCTTCCACTCGTATCTCCGTAGAATGAGCTTCAGATCAGCCTGACAGAATTGACAGAAGACAGATGCGTACCTATGATTTCCATGGCCAGCAACTTACAGTAGTAGTAGTAGTAGTAGTGGACCACCATTTATGTCCCATTAAGAGACCGGCTGGATCGGGGCCTGGCCAAACACGCTCAATTGTGCAGTGGGCAGGACACTTGCAATTGTGCGTCGTTCAAACATAATGCTTTCATCTCCTCGATGGGGCTATGGATAGATGAGCTTGACCACCATTAGGAGAGACCGTTACATAGGCACATGGGAGTCTTAGCACAAGTGCCAAATCAGCGCTCGCGTGTTCGGCGCCAGCGCGCGTTCCCACACTGTCGCTCCCGGCGACTCTGTTCCCGTTCGCAGACGCATCGCCTCACGCTGCCTAGACAGCCATTCAGTACTGCGCGCCATACGACGAGTTCTGATCTTCAACGCCGTCACACCCGACGCCTTCTTGTCATGTAGAAGTTCGTACTCCGAAGTAGTATCCCATTGGGGAAAAACGTGCCTCCCACATTGAATGTATTCGGTGCCAAGTGTACAATCGAGGTGAACACTATGGAGAGCTACTCTTGTCGAACTACACAGGTCCCAACCTGCCCGACGGCGCTCCCTCACACACGAGGGTTCAAGCCCGCCGCCATGCCCGAGTTGCGCCTAAACGATACGTCCAATGGTCTTCGCATTGTCGATGAGTTCGAGACCTTGGAGGCACAGTAAGCGATCAGATACACGCTATACAGTCTGATAGGTTCTGTACCTCGCCTTGGGTAGGAGATCGGATAAAGCCGCCACCTGTGCGATGGCAGCGATAGAACGTGCCTTCGTCTCGCCTAGTGTTTCAAGGTTGACTGAAAGCGAGGAAGATTTGTGTTCTTGAGAAACCGCATCTATTCTGCTGTCCTGTCACGACCGCCGCCATAAGAATTCCGAGTCGTTGAGGCGCGCTTGTGTGATTGTAGCGCCTGGAGCGGATGTTGTGACCATTGTTGTCCTCGAAAAGTCGAGCTCGCGTTACGCGACATACACTGGAGTGAGATATGTCATGTGGAAGTTCGGAAGCCCATAAGGGCTGCGGGTTCGAAGAGATGAGCGGTCGACAAAATCAAGGTGAGAGGCAAAGACAGGACGCCTGTCGTGGTCAAAGCGTCATGACGTCGCGTGTCGCGGCGCGCGGGGTTCGAACCGCGAACGGCCCAGCAGACTATTCTGTGCCCTACTGCCACCAATGTTGTCGCACGAACGTCCCATACTCCCAGCGCCACCCATTTTGGTGAGTAGGGTGGGACGGGTACCGTGAAGGAGAGAGTGAGTAAGAGTGTACAGTGCTCACAGAACAAGTACGAGCTCGAGTATATCTCTTGAGGACGGGTTCCTTGTCCGACATACCCTGAGCCACGTTGTATCACCTGTATCATCTATTCCACGCATGATAGCAGTGCTTCATCGAGAAAAGCGCAGAAAGCCTCATATTTCAGGGCTTGTACGTAGTATGGATACACGAGGGGGGAGAGACAGACAGACAGTATGGCTACATGTGGGAGACGGTGCTGGAACCAAAGCGAAGGAAGGCATACGCAGTGCTCGGATTATAAGGGGATGGAATGAGGAGGAAGTGTCGCAGAGCAGAGGTCAATTGAAAGTGTATGTGAAGCAGAGAGGGAGACGCCGGAGACCGAAGCAAGGAGCACAGCTGAAAGAAGTTCGAACATCATCACACATCGTGAACGACAGTCTCCTGGAGCACCGACATCTGGAATGGGCTGTCGACCCGCGCCTTGCTCTTGAGCGAGCGCAAGCTGGGCTTACGCCTCGCCGACGGCAACGTGGACACAGCCACGGGCGCAGGGGCGGCTAACGCCGCGAACGGTGAGTCTCCCGGTATAGGCGACGTTGCGCGAACCCCCATCGGCGTCGGCGATGGTATATGTGCAGCAGAGTACGCATACGGATGCATCATCGGCGGCGAGGGAGGCGGCTGGGGCCACGCAGAGGCAGAGAGGATCGAGCTCGTGCGCGATCCGGGTAGCGTCATTGTGTCGTCCGGACGCGGCGGGCGCACGGGCAACGGGAGGATGTCCTCGACGGGGACGGGTGGCTCTGGAGTGGTGAAGCGCTTGTAGTGCGAAACGGTGACAGACGGTGGCGAGGCGAGGCTGAGCTGACGAGCAGCGTTGGTCTCGAGGTAGTTCAACGTGGAGTGCGTGAACGAGAGCGATTCGTCGTCCTTGTCATCCGAGGCCGAAGAGATGGCGGACACAGGAGAGGTGATGGCAGACAAAGCCTGAGAGCCCTTCAGCTTCAGAGTCTTGTTCGACTTGATCGTGGCGTCCCACGGGGAGAGGTACTTCTGTGAAGTCGAGGTCCGCGGGATGGTGATCGTAGGGCGCTGTGCACTAGTAGACTCTCCGTTAGCGTGGTACACAGCGTACAAGTCCGCAGAGTGACGTACTGGACGGGCAAAGTCTTCTCCGAGCGCGGGTTGGCCATCGCCTTCCACAGAGAACGATAGCCCTTCCGCGTCTCCTCCCCGAAAGCCGACATGACGCAGAGCAGGATAGACCAGATGGGTACATTCCACCAGATGAGCTGGCTCTGCAGAGATAGCTGGGAGTCCGCAGGGATGATTTCGATATGCGAGAAATCCGCGTGCACCTGGGCTACGCTTGTCAACGGAAGCGTGTTGGAAGACTCCCATGACAGAGCAGTGGCATATACGGCGGCTGTGTAGGCCATTCCGAGCGTGCAGAACGCGAGACGGCGTGTGAAGAGGGAGAGCGACATCTCCGGCGCAGAAGGGAAGTAGGTAGATGAGTTGTAATGGCTCTTCGCGACGTTGAAGACCGCAGAAACTGGTCCAGGTGGTTAGACTAGCTTGTGCCGCACAGGAGAAGAATGCTCACCAGAGTACAGAAGAGCACATGCGGAAATGACAAAAGGTGGTAACCAGACAAGCATCAAGCTAGGAAGAGAATCGTGAACGGCTGCTTGGCAGCCAAAGTCTTGCAGGATGCTGAAGCGACGAAATTGAACAATCGTGTCTACGATATCTCCTCAGTAGTCGCTTCGCGCTGACATTTGAAGGTGACGTACGAAGACTGATATACAAGATAGGCACAGCTATGCACATGAGAACTTCGACTAGAAGTTTCCTGCGAAGTGAAGGCATCTTGGTATGGTCGAACGTCGACGTGAGGACTTCAAGTTGTCTTGAAGTGCAGAAGAAAGCGCCGGGAACCGCGACCATGGCTCCAAGCAACACCTTAGTCGCTGTGCAATAAGTCAGTTTATACGGCCTCTCATACAGGAAGGATCCACGTACATATATCGCACCAAACTGCCGCCTGAACTTCGGTGCTGTTCGCCCAGATAAGCGAGTTGGCCAAGTGAATGTTGCTACAGAGGAAGAGCCAGCATAAGACAGTCACGGCCGGTATACTATGAGACTTGATTTGGCCAGGAAGGATTAGGACGAGAAGTAAGATAGAAAGCGCGGAGAAAACGGTGAGCACTGTATGCATGGTGAGGTCTAAGAGAGCGTCGTGGGTTGCCAGCAAGTGGTGGGCTATCGGAACCCTTCAAAGAATGGGGTGTAAAAGAGAATGAAGGGCGCTCGAGAAGCATGTACGTTGAATGCCTAAAAGGCGTGGTGTACCGCCGGCCCAACACCGGCCAGTGACGGACGATCGACCGGTGCAGGCCATTCACAAACGACTCGCCGGATATGGGACAAGGAGCTAGCAGAGGGATCATTCATAAGCGCCTCTCTAGACCAATCCTTGGGGAGACTAAGGCCATAGATGCAGACCTCACCGAGGCATGGATGGACGATCCGGGATATAGCATCACAAGGGAGAAGCCCAGAAAGGAAGGCTGAAGGCTTGGGCGCTTGCGCTGGAAAGCACGACCCTATATCTCTGTTCCCATCGGAGTCGTATCGCTGTAGTATGCATACGTATACCTGCCGCTGCCATTGTTCTGCTGGCGTGGGCTTTGGCCACTCAAGCGCTCAGCTCGTCGAGACGCTGATGGTGGCGCGAGACAGGTGCGCGTGGCCGTGCCGCGGCCTCGTGTTGCGCGTCAACGGGCAAACAACGCCAAACAAATGTACCCCGCACCCGAACGCGTCCCCGGGCCGAGTTCGCATTGTCTCCGAACACTCTTGAGCAACGACGAGCATCACTGCGTCTAATCTCTGTAGGCCATGCCTACACCCGTATATGGAACCAGGCGGAGAACCAAATCCTCGGAGCCAAACTCTCTCGGCAAGGCAGGCGCAGACTTGGACGTGCCACAATTCGAACCTGGTCCAATACGGTCCACATCACTGTCCGATGTCGACGTGAGCGAAACAAGCTCGGATGACTATACTCCTACGCAGGAACATGCACCGGCACCGCCTGTGTCTTCTACTACTGCTCGCACGTCTTCGCCCAGTGTGTCAGCGCCGGCCGTCACCCCTCGAACATCTACGCCATGGATGGAGGTCGACCCCTCGATCGCTCTGGCCCTTGCGATGCCGATTGGTAGCTGGCTTACAGGAGGAGATCATCTGAAGCATATCTTCCTGGCCATTCTGCTTGTCGTATATCTTCACCAGCTCATATCCGGTATGTGAACTTGGCACACGACAGTCTATAATTGGAATGGGCGCTGACGATCATGCAGTTCCTTGGGAACTGTACCGCGCCTCACGCACTCGCCGCCCACACACTCCTTATCAAGCTTCCCCGCAAAGTGACGCGGAAACTCCCGAGCTCGACCGGCTACGGGAGCTCGCATCTTCCGAGCTTCAGACGCTCGAGATCTTCTACCTCTTGCTGTCCGCCGGCGCTCCATTCATAGGAGCTATCTTACTTCGCTACGTTCTACACACTGTGAGCGGGCCGAATGAACTATCTTGGTTCAGCGCCACGCTCTTCATCCTGACGACCGGCCTGCGACCTTGGTCACACCTGATCTCTCGTCTTCGGAAGCGAACTGAATCGCTGCATGATGCAGTGCACTACCCGTCACCCGATCTACAACTCCTCGCGGACTCCCGCTTGAAGTCCATACTCGATCGAGTGGAGGCGCTCGAGACTGAGCTCGCTGAAGCGAAGCGTCTCGTGGCGACCAAGGACCACGTCGAGGAAGTCGTAGAGGATCTCGACGACTCCATAGACCGTGTCGAACAGGCCGTGGAGAAGATAGAGCGCGCGGTGGAAAGCGGTCAAGCCGCTGCGAGTACCCGTATGGCCGCACTCGAGAAAAGTATCGCGCGTGCTCTAAGCAAAGGGCGCAACGAGAAAGTCCGCATCGCTACCGCTGGTGTCGGAAACGTCCCGGCATATGCTATGGCTCAGAGCTACGCCCACCCACATACGGGCGCCGTCTTCTCCGCTCTCGTCCGCATCCTGTTCTACTTCTGGTCCATCGCCACTCTCAGCTTCCTCTTCAAACCTACATTACCCCCACCACCAAGCCCTTACCGTCGCACGTCCCCAATCAGCCCAAACAAACCTAACCTCACGCACATCAAAACGCCCCGCCGGTTGGAGACCATTATCGAAGTCTCTCAAGAGGCTCCGGGAGAGAGCAGTCCTTCAGACTCGGACTTAGCCGACAACGAAGGGCCAAAATCTCCCTCACAGACGCACGCGGAGTCGCCTGTGGCACAGAGCGCCGCGGATCTCGCTGCAGACGTCGTGACCTTACCCTACCGCGCCTCCCTTGGAATATTATCCGCTGTCGCTCGTGTTGTCCGTTGATGTATACTTGTTCTTGCTTTCGTTTCTTGTACTGACCTGTGTTCTTCGTCCCCGTTGTATACTTTCGCGTCGAACATAACCACCACGATGCGCCGTTTGTATCACCCGCTCTCGTCTCCTTTCGCTCGCACTGTAATCTGGCTCCCCGTCTTGGACTCTGTATCTTCTTGTGTAATCAATATAGTACTCTACTGTACAATCTCAATCACTCTTGTTCTTGTATTGACCACGTTCAGGTCACAGTCAGCGTTCGCGCTCTAGCCTCGCCCGTTTTGGAACATGAGCAGACTCTGCATGCGCCCGCGCGCGGGCTTCCCAATGAGCAGCTGATGTCGGTGGGCCCTCCACATACAGAGGTTTGCCGTTGATGGTGGCCGTGGGACCTGCGCGACTCTTCTCAGTCCATGCTACGGGAGCTCGTTCCGTTCCTTGCGAAAGGCTGCGCAGTTGAGGTTCCAGGGGTGGAGGCATGGTATTGTGCTGCTCGGGAAGCGGCGCCGTGTGCGCAATAGCCGAGTTGACCTCTCCCGACCTGGGAAGTGGCGAGGAGGGAGAGTCACCAACGCGAACATCCTTGTTGTTTGCCGAGATCCGCTCGCCGGGCTCTACCAGGAGGAATTGATTGGGCGTGTCCGATGCCGAGGAGATGGAGGGTCCGTCGAACTTGCACACGAACTTGCACACATTGGCAGTCGAGTCTCTCTGCGAAGGGGAACAGTAGCCCCAAGAACACGATGAATGGCCTCTGGAAATGCACTCGGTTCCATTTGGCTTCAGCGCGTGACATTTGCCATCGGAAGGGCGGATACGAGGGCTGGGGGGCGAGCACTCTTCAGACATAGCGATCGCGAGGAGGGAGTGAGGTGAGGTGGGAAGGAAGATGAGAATCACTATCAAAAGCAGGCCATTATATACCTTAGAACCAGAGCCCGTAGCAGTGGTTTGTTCATTCTTTGTTGTCCGGATATGGACGGGTGGCCGTGATTGTGCACATCGCAAAGAAAGAATTGACCACACGGCGGCGGGTGGTCGTCAAGAACAGGATGCTCGCATCACGTCAACCGTCAACAGAGCATTGTGACAGGTCTGCCTAACGCGGCTCATAAGGGCTTATAGAGGGCGTGAACTGTGATACCCCAGCATGCAAAGATGGGATATGTACTGGGAATGACCCTCGCACAGTAGTTTTCGGATACGGCCCTATTCACAGCATATCCGTCTCATGTCGATCGATCATCGTCACCTCGCATCCGGGTCATGGTCCTGCTCAATCGTCTTAGGTCTGATCATGAACCCGTTCTGGAGCCCGGCGCGGTGCATCATCCGCATACGCGTAGGTAACGGCGGCCCTGTATACGGAGTGCCAAGTAACTATACCCCTATCTTCAATGAGCTTCCTTCATCAGTGGCTTGTAGTACCGTCACCCCTCAGCGAGCGACAAAATCCAAACGCATTCAGGCGCGCAAAGAATGATTCAGCAGACACTTCATTGGTACGAACTGCGATACACAAGATCACCAAGAATGAGAACCGAATGCAGACGAATCAGCGCCGCTGAGAGGGTAGAGAGAAAATACAGAAAAGTGCCGAGTATGGATGCGGAGTAGGTATGCAAGTGCGTGAGTCGAGAATGTTCCGGGAGACAATGGGACCGAGTCATAAATGCAGGATAAACATGAATAAAGCGAAGACGGATTCCGAGATGATGTTGTGGGACGAGCGGATCGGGAGTGAGGAGGCGGGGTATGTGAGTGGCGGCATTGTGTGAGGGAGCGAGGGAGCGAGAATGTATGAGCAAGCATAGTAGCAAAGGAGAAGGAGAGACCTCAACGCGCCCCATCCCAACTCGCGCGCTTCCTCTTATTCCCCTCCACCTTCTCAGCAATGGTATCAAGCGGCGCAACAGTCTGACTGACGCCCCTCGCATGCTGACTCCCTCCCATCCCTCTCCCTCTGATCACACCCCCGCCCACAGGGCTCGCGCTGCTACCAGCACCAGCCAACTTGGCCGCCTCAGCACCAAGACTAGCGAACCGCGCGCCCTGACCGACGCTCACAGCAGGCGGATGGTGCACGCTCACATTTGCGAGATCGAGCGCGAGCGTGCTGTCGGGCGGCAAAGGCTCGGCGTATGCGGGGTTATAGTGCGGGTAATGCAAGTCGAGGAAGGGAACGTCCATCCCCGAACCACCGATGCCCATCCCAGGCGGGCGGAACGCGTCGAGACCCATGAGTAGCGCATGCAGGTCCGCGGAAGGTGCGCCCGTGGTAGAGTGTACGTCCATGCTCAGGCTACGCGTTGGCGTGAGCGGTGGTGCACCGACGAAATGTCCGTGGTCTGTAGGCGGGACCGAAAGACTGCGGCCTGCGCTTGGTAGGGTAGGACCAGCAGCGCTACGCGGTGGCGGCGTACGAGGGACCTCAGGCGGCGGCTCCTGGCTCCCCGACGGTCCAGCCTCAGAAGGCTCATTGAGCGAGATGGCGCTGAGCTCGATATCGTCGATACCCTGCCCATGACTCGTACCAGGGATCTCGTCGATACCCGGCATCCCACCAAATCCAAAGCCAGGCCCGTACTCCGCGCTGCTCGACGGCGCGGGCTGATGCGTGCGAGCGCCGAAGATGAGATCGCCGGCCGTACGCGAGTGGTGTGTGAACCCGCGCCACCCGCCGCCCGAACCGCCCATGCCGAAGTCGGGGTCGCTGAATGCGCTCACGCTGAAGCTGTCTGCGCCTGCATCGGATGCAGAGGCATAGTCGAGCGGGCCAGAGCCGGGGAAGAGGTCGTAGCGGTCAACAACGCCGTATGGGGAAGGACTTCCCACGAAAGCGCCGAGGAATGGAGCGCCCGTGTCGGGCGAACCGTGCATGCTGGGGTCCATGCGCGCTGCACCGGCCAACCAGTCTTGCGGTCCCCATGCAGACTTGCCGATCTGCTGGTGCGAAGCAGGAAATGCGCCAAGGTTCATATTGAAGTCGTTGCCGAAGAGTAGGCCGTGCGCCGAACCCGGACTTGCTGACCATGCGGCGGAGGCAGAGGCGGCCGATGAGTGCACGCCACCGGTAGACCACTCGGCGTCAGACGCGTTGATAGAGGAGAAGTCCATGGACGGGGGATCGTCCGCTAAGAACATATCCGCGTCGCCGTCAAAAAGGCGGGCCGAGGCGGGTGTGGCGAGTGATACTGAGGCGGAGGTACTGGAGCTCGTGCGCGTTGGCAGCATAGGCGCAGGAGGCTTGACGGAGGGTGGCGACATTGATGCCAGCAAAGGCGGAGATGCAGCCGAGGACGAGACGGGCATAGTACCAGGCGGGTCCTCCTCGTCCGAGCTCTCAGACTCAGACGCGTTCGGACTCAGAGGCACGCTCTTGGTCCCTCCGCGTAAAAAGCCCTGCGTAGTGTGCCGCCTCTTGCGACGAGCTGGCCCGCTCTCAGTCGGGATCTGCTCGTCGGTGACAGCGCGTGGCTCGGGACCGGTCGAGTTCTTCTTCTTGGGCGCCGTGCGGGGCTTGTAGCCGGCGGCCTGGTAGAGCTCGGGGAAGGCGTTGCGGAAGCGGTCGCGGAGGTCGGTGCTGCGTCTGTTCTGTTCGGCGAAGACGGGGTCCTTGACGATGGTCGCCCAGACGGTACCGTGCTTGTCGTAGCCGGCCTTGAGCGCCGCGTCTTCCTCGGGGGTGAAGGGACGGCGCTTCTTGCTGCGCGTCTTCTCGAAGAGCGACGAGCCATCCGGTAGAGCGGCGCGTACTTTGGACGAGAGATGCGTCTTAGCGTTCGGGTAGTGCTGCTTGTAGGCGTCGGGGAAGTAGGTGCGGAATCTGCGAAAGGGGAATAGATCAGTATTCTGTTCACGCGCCACTGGCCGAATCGGGAAGTAGGAGAGCTCGTTATGCCGAGAGCACATGTCAACGACGTCTTCGAGAGCGCAGCGCCAACAATTGATGGATACACACTCAATAGGCCGACGGTAACCGCGGAAATAAAGGCTTTGCGCACGCAGGGTCTAGGGTACGCGCAGTGGCGGTACGTGCGACAGAGACAAATGAGCGCCCACAGAGACGTAACGTCGCCGCCGACAGAACGTGAGGCAACGTTGTTAGACGCTTGGAGAATGACGCAGATGCAAGTAATGCGCGTGCGCCACAGACGAACGACGCATGACAGCCGCAGAGGATGGTACTCGGATAGCCATACTGGGAAGAAAGTGATACACACCTGTCTTTGAGATCGACGGGCGAGCGTCCCTCAAAGGAGAACGTCGGGTCGTTCAAGATAGCCTTCCAGTTGCCGACACCGTGCTAGCAAATAAGATATATATCAACATTCTAGTACTGTACTGTGGCGAGAGACAGCCATACCTTGTTACAGCCATCTACGAGCTGCTGCGTCTCCTCCATCGTCCACTTCCTGCGGACCTTCTTCTCCGGACTGCCTGTCTCGGCCGAGTCGAGTCTACGCATCTTGCCGCGCCGGGGCTGTTGGTCAAGCTCGCGTTCAGGCGTCGTGGAGCGTGGTAGGCGGGTGTCGTCGGCGAAGCGCCACGCGGCGACCTCCCGTGGCGCAGGAGGCAGGGCGAGCGACGTCCGCCGGGGCTTGGTGCCGGGCATCGGGCTGTAGTTGAAGGAGAATGCCGAGCTCGGTGGCAGCGACGATTGTGTGGTGGTGGTGGTCGTCATTGATTGAAGACGTGATATGATAGGACGGTAGGTGGTGTGGTGCGTCCTGGCCTCTTCCTGGCTCGGCACGCTCGGGTGCTTATATGATGTCGCACTGCACAGATATTCTATGCCACGCGCGAGTCTGCAATGAGGCACTTCAAGGTATGTCAGGGACCCCTGTGACAGCGGTAAAATTCCAGCGGCGAGGCTGGCCGCAAGGTCGTGGTTGCAGACAGAAAGGCTCGGCTGATTCTGCCTTCGACCGTTAGCGCGTTTCGCTCAATCTGGCGCAACGCGGGTCGAACTGCGCTGGCCGAACCGCGTCCATCACGAACGTGTTGGCTGCAAGGCCCTCTTCGCGATTCCAACATCTTCTTCTCGGACCGTACTTAATCTCGGTCAAATAAGAACGGTACACGATCTGGCTAGGAGAAGTACATCGAGAGCTCGGGAAGTACGAGGTACTGAATAGAACCACTTGAACGATAATGACATTGAGACAGTCGGCCCGGTCGGCATAGTATACTTAGACATTGGGGCAGTAACTAAGTACATGGTCGGGGGACATAAGTCGGTGGCGAACAACCGCAACGTTCAGACGGACCCGGCGCGCGGAGAAGTCGAACCTCAACCAACCTCGACTGCGCTCGACGGAGTCGTAGCGAACCTTACTGACTTCATCGCTCGTATGCGTTATCTGCAAGCCAAAGTCGACGTCAGTCAAATCGGATACATTATCCAAGTCTACCTGAATACGCACCGCCCACGCCTTGATCCAAGCTAACAGCTTCACAACTATCGCTGTCATGATGACAGAGCTTACTTGACCGACTCGTCAAACGCTCATGAACTGTGGGCGCCCGACGTCAGACAAGGCAAGTCGCGCGGCAGGCGGCAGGCTTGATGCGATGACGCCGTACAGGGACGGATTCGGGCACAATGAACAAAGACTCGAGAGCGAGAGAGAGTTGACGCAACGCGTTTCGGGCGCAGATGAGATGGCGAGAGACTGTGTGCGGTAGGTCCTGGCTGCGAGATGAAGGCGGGAAGATCACCATGGGAATCCTCTCCGATCGACACCCCCAGGTTTTTGTGGGGTATACGTCCGACATGGCCTTGATCTTGAGCTCGAGCCATTGCGTCGTGGCCGTGGCTGAGACAAGACCCTCCGAGAATATCTTCCCGATTTCCGGCCGTTGATCACAAGTGTGAGAGTTCTGCGACGGATCTCCGGCTTCAACTCCCGGTAGCGCCGTGTGTCCCTTCGTTGCAGAAAGCAGAGGAAGAGGAAGCCATAGAGATCATAGACGGGCCGGCGTAGAACAATCTCATCGCGCACCAAACGCTAAACGATGATAACGTGGTGGACGGCCAGCGCACGAGAAGACGCGCTACTGACGCAAGCTATCAGCGAGCTGGCAGTAGCCAGCGTCCAGCGCGAACCAGATGTTCCTTCGAAGGTTGAGAACTATCTGAGACGGACCGGAGCTGAACAGCCTCCACCCGAATCGAGCATTAGACGGTAACGTGGAGGCCGGGCGGCGTGCGAGAAGGCCCGATGGATGATACTGACGCAAGATATCGGCGTCGAGCTCGCGGCGACCAGCGCAGATAATCATCCAAATATTCAGTCGAAGGCCGAGAACGACCAAGGAACTGGCCGGGGTAGAACAACCTCCTCGTATATTGAACGTTAGACGATAACGTGGACACCGGGCGGCGCACGGGAAGTGTAGAGATACGCTGCTGACGCAAGATACCGGGCGCTATCTGTGTCGCGGAGGCACAGTGTAGAGGCACGGATGCCGAGTAGATGAAGGTGCGAACTGACGGGAGAAGCGTGTGGGTGAATTAAGCAGTGACGCATTCGAAGGCGGACGATCTTCCTGAGGTCATGTTCGTCGTGCGTCTGCGTCCGAAGAAGGCGACGGTGCATTATGCATGTGAATGGCCTGGCGGGTCCGTGGAATGGAACGAATGCATATGAGGACCGAGAGAGCGATATCTGCGGGTAGTCCAGATAGCGCCTCGGTAGTGGTAGGCGCATCGGCACTGAATCGGTCGGTGCGGTATGAAGTTTTGTGCACGATCGGGTGGTCTTGAGGCCAGCTTGGATGGCCATGACTGCATCGAGCGAGGCGGGCGCCGCATCGCGGAGGACAATCGGAGTAACATGCTGAGTGTGAAAGGTTCGCCTACGCCGGAGATAGCATCGTGATCAAAGACAAGGTCTTCTACGACCATACTCGATGGCAATGAAGTCAGATCCTAGCCTAGCTCTACTTCGTCCTGAACGTTGAACGTTGGAGGCGCGACCGTGATAAGTGAAGCCGACGGCTGCGAAACTTGACGCGAGGCAGCCGTGCATATCGACGTGTAGGTTGGTAAAGCGTAGGTAAGCTTTCCCGGGCCACTGAGTACTGCTTTCCTAATCGCGTAGAGCGCAGCACGCGAAAGGCCTCCCGGTCTCTCATCGATGATAATCCGGGATGAGCCGCGTCGACCGGTCGTGCAGTATCAGAAGCAAGTCCCTCAACGGCCGTTATCGCGCAAGATGTAAGTCTCAGAGGTCCATATCACATTCGCTGTGCTCGACGAAAGGTCTCGGTGGGGAACATGATGGTACGCGCCGAAAAGTTGGCGGACACGCCAACGGCGCGCGGCATTGTCATTTGTTTGGCCTTGTTTGTACATCACGAATAAATGTGGGTGGATTTCCTGATCATTCTTCTGCGGAAGACTCATGGTAACTTTAGGCACCTCCGTCGATGTGAAGAGCAGTCCTGCACGTCTACAGTCGTCTAGAGCTAAGAGAATGGCTCGAAAGGCAAGTTACAATCATCAAGGAGGTTTATTCACTACAGCCATGAAGTCCAAGTACTTGGTTCAGATAGCAAACTCTTACACTAGCACGGACCCCGACGCGTATGAAGAGGTGACGACAGTGGCAGCAAGTCACGCCATCCTCTATCTCCTTATCAGGCAACTGCATAACTCATCCCACGATCCTCGACGGGATGCGGAAACTTCGACGGGATTGACATCATCTCTCCCAAGCTGCACGAGATACGCGCGTAAGTACGACGAGTCTACTTCCGAAAGGGCCCGTGAGCTTATTTGAGTGGGTGCACGGCAAGACGTAGTAGAAGAAGAAGCGAGCAAGAGCGGACTGAATGACGCAGTAGCCAGTCGGGCCTTCCTTACTAATTGTAACAACCACGTTCGTGGTTATAGCGAGCTCTGCATCTGCTAAGAGACTGTGAGATGTCCGGAGATACTCCTGCATCTGCGTCAAATGAGAAGAGGCTTACGAAGTAAATGTGGATGGACATATTCTGCTCGCAGTATTTTAGTCACCAGCTCTAGTAGAACACGTCGAGCTTGTTTGATCCTCGCGGCTGATGCAAGCGGCAGATATCTCGCTGTCAGATAGAGATGAGCGAGGACCACTCGTAAATGTCTGACGTTGAAGAGATGGGGCACGATGACCCGGGTTGGAAAACACGCGACGCCCGCGCTGTTTGGATTCTTTCGGCTCCCTGCGAGAGTATACCTCAGTCACAGAGCAAGGAGAGACTTCAGCGGCAGACATACACGTAGAGAAGCAAGCCGTGCAGATCTCAATCCAGCATTGCCACACTACGGCATGTATCACCGCCTTGCCATTGCCTGATGTCGACCTTTTCGCGAGATGAGATATGCGTGTCCTAGCATGAGCTCGCGGTTTCGCGTAGTGAGCGGCGCTCAATGGGTCCTGTAATAAAGTTATGAAAAGATTGACTCAAGCTTCGAAACCCTCGATGATTGCGCCTTTTCGCGGCTATTTTCCCTGATATCTCGACTTCAGCAGCATTGAAGTCGGCGAATGTTCAGGGAGAAGTTGGCATGGATCCGCATGGCAAGCGGTGAACGTTCAGTGCATCTACTCACTGCCGCGCAAAAGACACGGCACGGTCACTCGGCAGCAAAACCTGTAGCAATTCCTCTGCATAGTGACCCATCACACGACACATCCACCAAGACGTGTCGATTGTGTAATTTGGTCCTCCAAGAGAGAGACCTCCTACACGCGCGAATGGAGCCAGAGATCCTAATGCATATAATCAAACATCATAGTTTAGCTCGGTCAAATTTGTTAGTCACGGTGTATATGAGGGGAGTCCGGACTCGAGGCAGCCTGATGGTGAATTGGGACAAGACGCGCCGCCATGTGGCGCCGCGCTTCGTGCCAACCCTAACCCTACTGCGCACCCACGTGCCTCTATTGCTGACCACATCCTCAATGACAATTGTAAGTCTAAAAAATACTGTGCTACAACAGCAAACGAATGTCCGTGCTAGACAACAGACGGGAGGGACCGTGATTGTAGACGAAAGCTGATCCAGTGAAATAGGTATTAGATCTAACGTAGGCGTGAAGGTCCCGCCACAGCGTTCGCCTGCACTCGCTCCCTACGTGCCGCCGCCACCGATGTGGCAGCCTCTTCCTCCTCTTCCTCTTCAGACGCTGGTAAGAGATACTCCAAGTCTTCCGTGAGATGCGGAAATAGGATCGACATCATATCCTCCAACCTAGAGTACGCGCAAGAGGGGAGGCATCAGCATGACACCCTCGAGCATGAATCGCACAGAACCAAAACGTACTTGAAGATAAAGTCCCCCTTCTGATCCTTCTTCTTACTGGGCGCATCCACCTTATTCGTAGCAGCGTCGGGCGCGATAGCCGCAGGCGCAACGTCAAGCGTCCCTTGAGACTTCTCAGTCGTATACAACGAGAGACCTTTGCGCGCGGCGAGGTCAAGGATGTTCTTCTCGACCGTTTCTTCGGCGTAGTAGCAGAAGACTTCCGTCGGGCGGGTCTGTCCCATGCGATCGATACGTGCGATGGCTACAGAGATAGTGATCAGAAACAAAGACCTGGCAAGTAGCTGTGACGGACCTTGGACTTCGAATGAGTGGTGGACGACGCTCTCGAGTAGGAACACGCGCGACGCGCACGTCACGTTCAATCCTGCGTTCTCCCTCTCACTATACACCATGTCGTAAGGATCGTTAACGACGGCATGCTCAGAATAGGTCGTGCGTACCCATGGAGAAGCAATACCAGTAGTTCTGGATCCTGTTTGAACCGCACAGCAGCAGGCGTCCTCGCCTTACCAGTCCCAGCCGTCGACTCAATCCTCAAACACGGGATATCTACAACCATCTCATCAGTTCCCATACCTCACCATCCATCTGAATCTCACATACCATTCGTGCGCAACGCGTGCTCAACGACTATCCCGCACCCGCGTCAGATCGATAAGGACAAGCCACGAAGGGACGAAGCACGCACTATGCAACGAGTCCTCAAACGCGGAAAACACGATGCTCTTCGCGCCGGGATCCGTGATTCTGAGATAGAGTAAGTGCCTCACGAGACTCTCGATCTTGCTCCCGTAGCTCCCGCCCACTTCGAACGAGTCGATCTCGTCTAGGACGTCGCGCGGTATAGAGTTGTACTCGATCTTCCGGCGTGAGCGCGGGAGGGCGTCTTCGCCGTTCGGGAGGAGTTTACTCGGAGGATTGGACGGTTTGGTGGTGGCGGTGGTGGGTTTGACGGTGAAGCGTTGGAGGCTGGATACGTCGATGGGTACACTGGAGAGATATGAGATGCGTTGGACAGTGCTATAAGAAGTGAGCGTACGTACCGGCATACGGGGCACACCTTATTGGACCGCGACAACCATCCCTTCATACAATCCTCACAGAACGAATGAGCGCTATCGGAACGCGTAAGTTCACCATCGTCATATGAAGTCCGAGAAGCGAAGCAAAGAAGACACCCACCACTCAGTGAGGTATCCTCGGTTGAAGTCCTATCAGACCAATAAGCGCATGCCACGACCGATGAGACGAAGTAGAACGCACGCAACGACATAGAATACATCCGTCCTCTTCATCGTCGCCTTCCTCGGTAAGATGCTGAAGCTATTCGGCAGCGAGTCAGTAGGATGAAATGCGCATGACGTGACAGACGTACGTAGCGTTCACGAGCTCTGCCGGTCTTGATCTTCCCGTCAAGCTCCGCCTGAAGCGCATCGCTCGCCTCGATAGCCTCGTCAACACCACCTTGCCACTCGGCCTCCTTCAGGCTATCAGAGATCGACTGGAGCTGCTTGTAGTACTGCACGCGCTCATTGAACGCCTTGCGGAACCGCACGAGATCAGCCTCGAGCTTCTCGTTCAGCGCACCTGCAGACGTATTAGTCTCAGTGTTCAAGATGCACAAGAGACAGCGTACTTTGCGTGTTAATGATCTGCCTGAGAGCTTGTGTGATTTCCGTTGCCAGAATCTTCTCCATATCGCTCTTCCCCGCGATCTTAACCGCCACATTCGCCGTCTGCACGACAATACTCTTGACAGCCTTCCCATCAAACTTATCCATAATCTCCTTCCTCTTCCCCATAAGCTCCTTGAACAACACCTCATGCTCCGGCAAGACCTCCTTCTCGCCATCCGCCATCTCCAACTCCGTCTCTGCCAGCCTAATCTCCTCTTCAGCAGCTTTCGCCGCGGCGGCAGCAGCAGCGGTCTTGGTCTTGCGCTTCTTCTTCTCTTTGCCTTCATGTTCGGCCAAAGCCGTCCGTTCCGCAACGAGGATCTCGCGTCTATCTGCGAGAAGCGCTTTGTACGCTTGAACGTAGACGTCCGCTTCGCCTTGTGTGTTCAAAGATCGAGAGTATTCTTCGCCGTCGGCTGTTTCGGAGTCGGAAGATGTTGCGTTTAGAGATTCGGTGAGGAGTTTGTAAAGGTGCGTGCGCCAGGTCCAGAGGAGGGTCGTTTGGGCGTTGAGACCGTCTTGGAGGATCTCGTTGGCTTGTTCGATCTGGATTCGGAGGAAGGGGAACGGGCATTAGGTGCGATCATGTGAGGACGAGGGAGCGGGGAGGGACGTACGAGGTCGGCGGTTTTGACCCCGCCTTTGAGGGGTAGAGGAACTTGAACGAAGAACTCTTTCTTCCGCGTGTTGCGCGTGGTACTGTGCGCGACGTAGTCCTTCGACAGCTCAGCCATCGCCGCGCGTGCGCCCTCCTCGCTCACTACAGCACAACCACATCAGTCACCACATTCGCCACACCGCACACGAACTCGGCGATAGCGACGTACGTTTCAGAATCTTCTTCCTCAACCCATCCGCCTCCTGATACGCCTTATCCTCCTCCGCTTGATGACTCTTCCCAAGAACATGATGAACATCGCCCTGTAAGAACTTGGCCTTATGCAGCGTGATAAGCGCATCTCGCATCCGCTTCTTCAGCTTCGACCGCTTATCCCTGAACGACTTGACCTTGGGCGTCTTAGGCAGTCCATCATTCTCATCGTCGTCCTCGTCGCGTTGCATAGAGTCCTCGTCCGACTCGGGCGAGAGAGCGCGTGCTTTGCCTTTACCCTTGTCCTTCTCCGACGCGGCATTGTTGTTAGAGGCATCTCGATTCTGAGCGGCCAACAACTCGCGTTCGCGTTGTTGCTGAGCGTACTCCTCTTTGAGGATTTCACCGAGTTTGGCATGCTCGTCGAGCGCGGACTGAAGATCGTCTATGAGGGCTTGGGCTTCGGCTTCGGCTTTGGTGAGTGTGTCGAGAGCTTTGGCGTGTCGCTGATGCAGCTTGGGGTTGTGCTGGATGAGTTGGGCTGAGCGGGCCATCTCTTCTACCTGCGTGCGCGAGAGTATCAGAGGTGGTACTAAGGAAACAGGAGAGGAGGAGGCACCTTCTGTCGGCGGTCGGTCATCAAGTTCTGCCAATTCAACTCTCTCATTCCGTCTAGGACTTCTTCCATACTCTTCAGCACGTTCGCCCCGCCCGTCTTCTGGTTCTTCGTCGTGTTCTGCAGCGTGCCGACCTGATATCTCGCAGATCAGTCTACATACCAAGAGGGATAGGAAGAGAACATACCTGCGGATGTGTACAGATCATACGGAGCTTCCGGAGCCACGAGCGGAGGAGGGCCGTATCGATCTCCCAGTTCTCCGTCGCAGCTACCCCGCGCGCGTCGAGCCCAAGCTCCTGCAAACACTTGCCTAGCTCCTGATCGTACACCTACCCACAGCCCATCAGTAACCTTCCCACGACCTCACACGATGCAGGGAAGAAACAACATACATGCCTCTCAACCCTCCCCAACTCGACCCCCACCAACCACCTCGTCTGCACCGGAATCGTCAACTCATCCTTAACATCCCTCTTCACCGTCCTACACGTATAAAATCTCATCAACCGCACAAACTCCCCCACCATCTCCGGTCTCAACAGCCTATCCCACGTCTGTTTCGAGTGGAAGAGGGATGGGGTGCGGAGGTAACGCAGGACGTGCGAGAGGTCGGGCAGGGAGGTTTTGGCGGGGGTGCCGGAGACGGCTAGGGAGGAGTGGCGCGGGATTAGGGAGACCATTTCTCTATGGGGTCGGTCGTTGTATCAGCTGTTAACCCTAACCCTAACACTGAAAGAAGAACGTACAGTGAACGTCCGCCGCCGACCATTTGGACTTCGTCCATGATGACCCTCCAAAACTCCACGCACACGAGCGGGCTCCGGGGCCTGAGATACGCCGGCGTGCTATACTCTGCCGTTTCGCGTCTAGGTCTGCGCGGGGGTGCGCGTGCGACGTGTAGATCTTGTTGGAGGACGTTGTACGTCGTGATGCAGACGTCGTACGAGTTGATGAATTGGGCCCATGCGTCAACGTTGTTCCTATTGGAGGAGGAAGGGGCGGGAGAGTCGAAGTCGACGTCCATTGCGTCATCCGGAGAGGCTTTGGATTTGCCTTTATCTTTGGATGAGGATGCGGTGGACGTGGAGCGTAGACCGTTGTGCTTGACGTTGATGGGTAGCTTTGACCAGCCCTCGTATACGAAGACTTTCAGACTTGGCGCATGAAGCTCGATCTCATCGACCCACTGTCTTAATAACGAAGCGGGCGTAACGATCAACGTAGTCTATCACCACATCAATCAGCTTCGTATCCCCTCCCGACAGGACAGAGAAACGACTGTGACTGACCTTGACCTCTTTCACATCCAAACCCGCCTGTGCGTCCCACCTCGACATATCCGGATCGCGTCCCACACCCGGATTGAGCAACATCAGACTGATACACTCCAGCGTCTTCCCAAGCCCAGGCTCCTCAGCCAGAATCGCGCCCGGCAACGGCGGCTCTTGAACAGGATAATCCGGGCTGATGGTATCTGTGAGGCGCTCATAGTACCAGGCTATATCCTCCGTGGGTGATACACGTGTCCAGAGGAGCGGGAGATCGTCGTCCAAGTTTGATGGGGGGAGGAAAGAGGCGGGGACGATGGTGCCGTCTGGGGTGATGGCTTTACCTTCGCGAGCGAGGAGCCAAGCTACGGAGCGGCGTTGGAAGGGTAGGAGTGTGGGGTTGAGCTCGTCCGGTTGGACTGTTTGCATGGCCGTATCACTGAGCTCGGGGGCAGGTTGGACGGTCGCGTAGAAGAACGGGATATCGGTCCGTCCGATGTACGCCGCGGAGAGTGACGGAGGGAGCGGCGCAGGCGGAAAGGCAAGCTGTAGAAGCTCCGAGCGCGCGGAGAGAAATGCGACGCGTTTGGCTTTGGTCTTGATGTCTGTTTTGTCGTGGAAGATGTGGGGCGTGATGAAGTGCAGCGTCAGGTCTACCTGGATCTGAAACGGTATGGTGCGTTCGTCGCTCATATCCGCGTCGGCGGGTAGGACGAGGCGCGCTGAGGCCGTGAGGTCGGCAAATGCCGGGCCAGGGTTGAAGTCGTTGATGGAGCTGAGCCAGGCGAAGAGGTGGTCCTCGCCCTGACTCGGCGGAGGGAGGAACATCAGGTACGCGTCTCCTTCGCGCGTGCGCAGTCTGGCACCCTTGGGTCGGGGCTGGACAGCAAGATCTGGAAGCTGTATGGCCGTGTCCCCGTGCTCGTACAATATATCGCACAATTCCCGCGCCTCGGGAGGGGCGTCCTCGTCGGGGCGGAGCTTGTAGCCTAGCTCGTAGCTCAACCGGAACACAGGCTGGCGGTCGTCAGAAACGGCAGACCCGTCGTCGGCCTTGCGCTTCTTCGCTGCCGGGCCGTCGTCGCCGGGGTCCCTCGCGCGCTTCTTGCCAGCGCCGCGCTTCGACTTTGCTTTAGCGCCGGCCTGTGGCGCGAGCATCCCCTTCACGGCTTGTAAAAGGACAGACCACGCGACGGCCGGCTCGTCCTTGTGCAGGCCATGATGGCTGGCGGAGAGCGACACGCGAGCGTCTTGTGTCCGCATGCGGGGGATGAGGGATTGGGGTGGTGGACGTCCTGGCGAGAGAAGGCGAAGAACGCGACGCGCCACACGCGAGTCAGCTCATTCAATCCCAGACGCGGTCACGTGCACAGTGGCGCCATCGGTTCGCGCGGGGCCGCGCAAGGGCCGCCGCGAGCGTCTGCGGGCGTCTTGTTCGTTGTCTCCTCCAACGACCTCGCCCTTCACCCCACCCGGATTCGTGCGCGGGTGCAGCGTCCCGCGGAAGATGCAGGTCGGAAGATTCACGACGCGCGGGAAAATCGCGTCGCGGCGCGTCTCCGCCAATTGACTCGAAAACGACAATAACCTGCCGTTGTAAGCCTATGGCTTACAACCATGACACTTCTTCCCACGCTTTGGACATGTATATGTACCTCGCGACCTCATGTTGTACCGCATCTTCTTCTTTACTTCCGAATCCCATGCAGATTCCTGTTTAGCTCTGCGTGTGATTCTCACTCTTACCTCGCTCTTGCTCAGTG